CAAAAGGGCTGGTTGCTGTGCGAAGCCTCTTGTGTAGGTCTAATTTCATTCACAAGGTTTCTACCTCAAGGCTCAATCACCTGCTCATAGTCCCACCTCTTCCTGCTATCACCTTGGTGACTAACTTCAGTTCGAATATTGGAGGGACACATTCAGACCACGGCAGAAATATCTAAGACCTGAAGGTGGAAGGAGACTAGGAGGAGGCCAGCAGTGGCCACAGCATTCTCAGCAGAGCAGTGAGTTCTTTGTACAGGGATCTCTGCAGAACATGGCTGCAGCGCCCACACTGTGTTTAAATATATACCACAAACACACATAAAATTAAGTTGTAATAAGAATTTAGTGATGTATATCTCAAAATAATTTACATTTCTATACACTTATTAAACACATCCAAATTAAAAAATTTAAATATAATAATAAAACAGTTCCAACACCCCGAAATCCTCCTTCTATCTTCTCCCAGGTGGTATTAACCAGAAATAACCATCATTCTAACTTCTCTCTCTCACTATATATTAGTTTTGCCAGATCTAGTTTCATACAACTGAAATCAGTTATACACAAACTCCTTTGGCATGGATTTTTAAATTTCTCATGTCTTTGAAATTCATCCACGTTTTTCTTTTTCGTTGCAATAGTATTTTGTTCCTTTAAAACTTGTATGCTGTTAATTGCATAAATATTCCCTCATTCATCTGTCCATTTCATTCTTTTAAACATTTTCATAGCTCAGTAAGGATAAGTAACAACAAACTATTTTTTTTATTTTATTTTTATGTGTGTGAGTATTTTGCCTGCATGTATGTCTGTGCACCACAGCAGTGTCTGACACCTGAGGAAGCCAGGGAAAGGTGTTGGATCCCCTATAATTAGAGTTAGAGATAGCCGTGAGTGCTGCAGCTCTGCAGGAAAAGGCTTCTCCTAGAGAAGTATTACAGCTCTGCACTGGCTGCTGCAGGAAAAGGTTCTCCCAGCGCAAGGGTAACAGTTCTGCTCCAAAGATGGTCTCCCCAGTGCAAGTGTCACAGGCTTGCTCCAGCAAAAGTATTATAGCTCTGCTCCAAGAGGTATCCTGGCAACTGGGCGCCCAGGAATCCCACACAGTCACATAAGACAACAAACCTCACACAAGAGATTTATTGGGAGGGAGAAACCCAGGCTGGTGGCTGCCTCTGCTAAGGTGAGGAACAGCATGGAACTGAGAAGGCAAGGTTTATATAGGACTTTTTGGGGGTGGAGTTGGGGGTGGGCTTTCCAAGGTGGAGATTTCCAGGGTGAGGATTCGTGGGGTTCAATTCCTGAGCTCGGGAAGCTCAGGGAATTGATGAGTTTTCATTTTCAGGGATTGGTGGGATTCTGTTTCTTGACCATGGTCTTGGGCTTGGGGGTCAAGTCAGGGTTCGGGTGTTTTTCCTTTGCCTTTTTAATCCTACAACAGTTGTTAGCCAGTGCTTTAACTGTATAGTCTTCTCCCTAGCCCCTACCCATTCTAGTCTTGATAAACATTTAGTCATTTCCAGTTTGCTCCCGGAGAAGGCAGCAGGGAACTGGGTAGACACAGATTTTATATAGGATTTCTTAGGGAGCAGAGCTTTTTAGGGCAGGGATTTCCAAAGTGTGGAGATCTTGGTGGGACTTCAAGTCCTGAGTTTGGGGAGCTCAGAGATTGGTGGGCTTTCCTGTTCAGGGATTGGTCCGTTTTCTTGCTCAGGGATTGGTGGGTTTTTGTCCAAATTTTTTACCTCAAATTTGCATAATCTGGGATGAGTCCTACTGAGGGACTGTTGATGACAGGTACAAAGGTCTGGGGAGGGGAAGCTGGGCTGCTGGAGCTTCCTCAGGCAGGGGTCTGGCCACTTTTCTGCCTTGAGGGGTTATAAAGTATACAAAGAATCCAAAATTTAGAAAAAGTCCATTGTGAAGGCAGTAGACTGAAGCAGGAAAGGTGGTCATCTTCATGGACAGCTCCCATGGTGGCGGCAGTAGGCATTCTGAGGCGGGAAAGATGTGGCGGTTCCCACAGGCGAGGGCTGAGTCAGGTATAGTCACCGTGGACTTCTGCCTTCACCGTGGAGTCCTGCCTTCACGGCGCCTGCGCAGGAAGGAGGGGCTGGCTGCCCTGAGGTGGGAAGGGGAGTTAGTGGCCTGCTGCTCATAGCTCTTGGTATGTTGGGGGACAGTGGATTCCCTGCTCACGCAAGGGGTGTGACAGAGGGTCACCACAGCTTGGGGGAAGGGAGGTATCAGAATGGCTTGGGGTGGCTAAGGTGCCCCAATCCGCACCTTGGGATTTCCTCAGCCTGGGGCTTCTGCTGGGGTGGCTGCTGGGGTGGCAGGCCACCTCAGTTTGGTGGCCTGCCCCTGCCTTGGGGCCAAGTTGGGCTCCTGCTGGGCTTCCACAGTTCTCTCTGCTCTGGTGGGCCGCTACTTTCATTTCTCCACTGTTGCCTATAACAGCACTTTTGGTTTCTTTGTATGTTATGTAAAAATGCTTTTGTTTCATTCACAAATGTAGGATTTTAGTTGGGCGTTAGTTTGTCCACACCTGTTAATTGTCACGTGTGGGGCGTGATCTTTGCCGGCTGGTCACAGTCTTCCACGTGCAGCCAGAGAGGGGTGTGGTCTAGGACACTGAGAATATAAATATGAGGCTGAGAGCCCATGTGGCATTTTGTGTGGCATTTGGTGGTGTGGTGGCGTTCGGTGTGGTGTTCAGTGTTGGTGTGTGGCGGTTTGGAGCAGACAGATGGAGAGAAACAGCATTTCTTCAGGGTGCAGAAGTGTAGAGGCGCCTGCTAGCTGTGTCTGGTTGATGGAGATTGGTACAGAGCCCTAAAAGAATCCTTTGACTCTAAATAAGCAGGAGAAGTAAAGGGGTCTGGGCCCTCTCTACCCACTAACCTTTTTTCTCTCTTACATAAGGTTGGGGATTGGTAGAAGGGAGGTAGAGGTCTAAACATCCCAAATAAATTAGAGTTTAAAAAAAGCTGGCTACAGGTAGCTTTCCGCTACAGTTGCTGATGCTCCCGGACACTTTGATAAAGGATGGCTGGGCCTGCTTTTATCAGGCAGTGGCTGCCCGCTGCCATGGCTCTCTCCACAGCTGAGGTGGCAAGTTGCCATGGCTCTAGACTTAAACACCATGGATATGTACATTTATTAATTACAAAATAAATTTTAAAATGAAGCTGCCATGGCCATGGCCTTTTTTGTGTGTGTGGAAAAGCACTTCTTTTTTTTTTTTATTTTAAAATTATGTTTAGATTTATCTTATGTGTATGAGTATTTTGCTCAAATGTAGTCTGGTGTGTGTGGTTGATGTCCTTGAAGGCCAGAAGAGGACAGTGAAACTGGAGTTACAGAGGTTGTGGGCCACTAGGTGGGAATCCCTCTCAGGTCCTGTGCAGGAATAAGTGCTCTTAGCCACTAAGCCATCTCTCCAGTCCTGGGGAAAGGTAGGTTCATGAACATACTTTTTGAGCTTCATGAAATCTGGGAAATTTGACCTGGCATGTGAGGGTAAGGACCTGTTACATGTTAGTACCAGTTGATGAATAAACATACAAATGTTTAACTCCCCATCTGAAAGATGATTTGTCTAAGTCTCATGATTCATTTGTGATGGACTAAGCCTATTCAAGACTAAGCCTCAGACTAGAGGTTCTCTAGGGGATGATGACATGGAAAAAACTGTGGACCCAAGCCTTTGCAGGCTTTGTGGGGAGAAAATCCTATTGCTGGGGCTTGAGGTTGTAAGAGGGGAATGGCGGACAGTTATAGCTGGCACAAACAAGGTGGAAGGTTCAGGGACACGTGATGTACAGGGATGCTGACCACAGCTTCTTTCACTGTATGTTGACCAGTTCCATTAGCAGCATTCCCACCATTGTGACCTGACAATTAATTTCCTGCATTAGCATCACCAGGGAGTCTTTCTTGAGCCTGAGGATCCCTGACACCACACTAGACTAGATCACAATCAAGCTTTTTTTTTTTTTTTTTTTTTCTCCCTCAGCCAGGGTTTCTCTGTGTAGCTTCCACTGTCCTAGAACTGAGCTCTGAAGACCAGGCTGGCCTCGAACTCTTGAGATCTGCCTTCCTCTGCCTCCGGAGTGCTGGGATTAAAGGCATGGGTACTACCCGACTCACAATCAACTCCCAAGATGGCCCAGCTGATTTGTGTTCCCGTTTGCATGGAGATGCACTGTACTGCAGCAGATAGATGCTTCCCGGGGTTGTTTAGGGTTTTTGCTGTATAGATCATGCTGGCCTAGTCCTCTTACCTCAGCCTCCAGACTGCTGGCTTACAGGCCTGGGTCACTATATGACTCACTAATGTTTCTTATACGTGGAATCATTTTGTCAAGTTTTGTCAAGACTTGCTGCTTTGACACAACATGAATTTTGAATTTCATCCAAGTTCTGGCAACTGCCATTAGTTCATTTTCATCACTGCTGAATTCAAACTTATAAGGGGAGAAAAGAAGGGAACCAAACTATCACTTATTGTTAATTACAACGTTAAACCTGCCTAAAGATACAAGTAAAAAATACATCATCTGTTTTGTAGGCAATTCAAACAATACCACACTTCGGTGTGCCTTGGGAGCCATATAAGGTCATGTTTTAGCTTGTAAAGTGAATATTACCATAGCATCTCCAAAACGGCGCCTAGTCTCACTTCATATCTAATTTATTGGCGACAGGAGGGGCTACGGATTGTTTCTTTCCGCCTACCCTTTTCACAGTTGGTGGACTAAGGGCTCCATAACGCGCATGCTCCTTTCAAGCCAAACCCCTACAACCGTCTGCAGCGACCTCACGGGCACCGCCACCTCCTTCGTAACAGGCCGAAGAGAAGCCCTCAGCTTCCACCTGGCATCGGCTTCCTCTGGCCCAATCCCACCCGACTGTGTTCTGGCCCCGCCCACTCCGCAGGGAGCCCTCGGGGTGGACTGCGCCTGCGCGGTGCGGCTGGTGGGCGGAGCGAGGACGCCAGGAGGGGCGGCCGCGAGGGCTGCCAGCCGGGGCTGCTCGGAGCTGGCGGGCGCCCGGGCGGGTCTGAGGTGGCGGGGGCTCCGTCTTCTCCTCCTCCGCCCTCGAAAGTAAACTTTGCCGCTCCGCCCGCGGGCTCCCCGGTTCTCGCCACAGGGCCTCCGGGCGGCGCGGGCCGGCGTCAGGGCCTGTCTGCCTCCCCGGGCGCCGGGCCTGGGCGCCATGGACGCGTCGGCGCTGGAGCGGGATGCGGTGCAGTTCGCGCGGCTGGCAGTGCAGCGCGACCAGGAAGGCCGCTACTCTGAGGCGGTGTTTTACTACAAGGTAGGGCCGGGCTCGGGCCGCGTCCCCCGAGCGAGCCCTGGCCGCTCCCCGGGGCCGAGGGGCGGGGTCCTGCTCCGGGCCGCCGTCGTAGCTGGCGGATGCCCGGCGCTCTGCGGCCAGCGGCGGCCGGAGGTGGCAGGGGGAGTGAGTGGCCTGCTGGCCGTCTCTTGGTCCTGGTGTGTGGCCTGGACATCCGTCATGATACGCCAACGGTGCATGTTCGATGTAGAAAGCAACAAGTAAATTAGAAAATAAATTCATCTCTTTTCTGGACGTTTGCGGTCCCCCAAACGCGAATCTTACCGTTTGTGCGTGGTACCTAGATAATATTTGGTTGCTTGCATGTGCCACATTTACAACCTGTTCGGCAGTTTGGTTGTGGGTTTTCAGCATTGTGCAGCTAATAGCCTTTTTTTTTTTTTTCCACACTTGTGATACTTGTTTTGAATGAATGACTTTAGCACAATTGCTAAAGCAAAGGGTATGAACTTCCGCAGTTCATCCTGTACTCTTCATTCCTGGCGCTTGCACACGCACCCCTCCAGTTGTGTCTTCCTGATGTGGTCTTTTCCTCGGTCATAGAGAAGTAGCAGAGATTTTCCCTAAGCATATGTGCTATCAGTAAAGCACGGTTTGCTTTCCGCTGATATTTTATTGCTTTTATTTTAAAATCTCCCTTACATGTAGACTTTTTTTTTTTCTTTTTGCGTTTTAGGATCATTCGTTTCAAATTTTCCAATTTTTTTTTTTTTTTTTTTTTTTTTTTTACATCCTCCAACTCGTGTGTGTTTATGTGTGTCCGTGTGTCTGTGTGTGTCTCTCTTTCTCCTGGATCTTGCTATATAGTGGAGGCTGGTTTCAAATTTATTCTCCCTTGCCTTAACCTCCTCAGTGCTGAAATTTACAGAAATGTGCCTGACTACCAGGTGATAGTTCTTTAAAAGAAAATTCTGTTTTAGTTTTGTGAACCTACTTCAGCAAATCCTAAACCAGCCATATAGCCTAGTGCGGTGGCACCTGCTTATTTGCTTGTAATCCCAGTACTCAGTACAATGAGGTAAAAGGATCATAGAGTTCAGGCCAGCTTGGCTACAGTGTAAGACTTTGTCTCCAAAAAAAAAAAAAAAGAAAAAAAGTGCCATATGAAAATAGATAGCTTTTTGTAAAACAAAAGAAACTGTGCAGGTGGTTTTTCTTTTAGAAGGTGTCATTTAGGAATTAAAATTCATCCTTAAGGAAGTTTTTTTTTAAAAAAAAGGGCTACAATCTCCAGGCTTCATAAAACCAGGAGTCAGGAGGACCAGCCAGTTTAGGACATAGGAGACTTTGTTAAGAGAGGGAGGGGAGGAGAGGAAGAGAGATGGAGAGAGGAGAGAAAGCAAAGTAGCTTTTATCCACATGTAATCCCATTACTTGGGAGTAGAGGCAGGTGAGCCTCTGTAAATTTAAGGCTATCCTGGTCTAAAATTTCAATTTCCAAGCCAGCCAGGGTACCTGGGTTACATTACATAGTGAAACCCTGGCTTTAATTAAAAAACAAAACAAAAAGGGTGGGGGGAGTAAAAACGTGGATATAAGTGAAATGAGTAAAATAAAACTGATAACTATTTGGTTTCTTTAAAAAAGTGAGGTGATTATTTGAAAATCAGTACTTACATGTGAGGGGTAAAATATACTCAGAATTAAATTAAATTATATGTAAGGTTCAGTTTATTGAAGTATAATGTATTTAATTATGGTATATGTAAGATTAGGTATTTAGTATTTGTATGGGAAATTATTTTTCTCCCTTGAAATTCTGCTTTATGGACCTTGAAGTCATCCTTCCTACCCCACCTGGCTTTTATGGTTGAATTTTCCATGGAGTCTAAAATGCATTTGCTGATTCTGTAGGACTCAGTTAAACAACTTCTGTTCAAAAACTGGCTTGCCAAATGAAGTTCAGTGGTAGCTGCTTTGGAAACAGCATGAGGCCTGTAAGGTATAGCACACCTTCAGCTCCTGCAGAGAGGGGCTGCCACTTGCAGGAAATCTCTGCTCTTGCTAGGTGGGTGGTATTGTTAACCTTCCGAACAGTGACGGAGGAAGTGGAAGTTCTTCCTCACTAGCTTTAGGACAACTGGCTGTGGAAGTTATGGGAAGCTGGAAGGCGAATCAGATTTTGAGTTTCATAAAACTGAAATCTACCCTAATATTTTAATTCTGCTGTGAGACTTTTAACCTTTATAATTTCTTGTGATTTCCCTATTGATACTTTGTTTTGGTGGTAGTTTTAGTGATTTGATTTTGATGGTCCCTGATATTGAACCTCAGAGCTTTGTACGCTAGGCAACCACTGTACCAGAGCTAAGTCCCAGCCTGTTTTAATGCTTTTAAGGCTCAGTGTAATTTTCAAAGTATGTAATTCATATCTGAGTTACACATGAGGAAACAGAAAACGTAAGTCACGGCTATTCTGAAGATGTGTTTAATAATTGGGTTCTTAAATTTTCAACAGAATATAAAAATTAAGGATATTTAAAATGGAAGAAGAAAAGGTATTAGAGGGTTTTGTAATTTATTTGATGTATGAAAGAAATAAGGCTATTTTTGTTTTGTTACCATGAAATGAGTAGAAAATTATAAAGTAGTAATTAAATTCATATTATGATAGGTCTTTTGGATTCTTTGGATTGTGCATTTCTTTTTTTTTTAAGGAAGCTGCACAAGCTTTAATTTATGCTGAGATGGCAGGATCCAGCCTAGAACGGATCCAAGAAAAGATCAGTGAATATCTGGAAAGAGTCCAGGCTCTGCATTCTGCAGGTTAGTCGAAGACATCACTTGCCCTTTTCTCCCCCCCCCCGCCCCCCACCACATTTACTCCCTGCTTCTCTTTCTTCTCCATCTGGGATCTTGACACTCACTCTTTCTGCTTACTGACAAGAATATCTTAAAGAGATTTAAGTAGTCAAGATATGGAAATAAATTAATAGATCTATAAGAAGAATGTTAGAGATAAGAGTACACTTTCCTACTTTTTTTCAGCTGTAGAGATAGTAGATTACCTACATTGAATTTGTCATTGACAGAGTTAGAGTCAGAACTGTCAGAGCCTGCTTTTAAAGTATTAGACATATGCCCTCTTCTGACACTAAAGTTAGGTCACCAGTTGCCTATAGGGTTTAAAGACTTCAGTAGTAGGCAGTAGATTCACAGACTTTTCTCCATCAATGTCTTCTCCTGTGGCTGCATTTTTTTTTTTTTTTTTTTAAGTAAAGCCATGCTTTGGAAACACAGTATATAAGCAGAGATGTTATTAGTGTTAGTAGTAATAGTAGCAGCAGTGAATGACATAGCAGCTACCACTAGGATATATAGGCTTGGCGATCGGTTTCATTAGAGAAAAAGGGTTTGTGTCAAAATCTGCTGTTCCTATGGGTGGAAAAGAAAAAATATTGTTGGTATTCGGTTTAGATATATTCATCTTTTTAGGATGGTTTTCTTAAACCTTTTTTTTCCTTTTTACTTTTTCTTCTTTTTCTATTGCTGGATAATTCACAGAGGAATACTCCAGATTTTTACTCTAAGTGGATTCTGTTATTGTCTGCCACTTATTCTGAGTAGAATGGGCAGTTATAAACATGTAGTTAGGATAAAGTCTATGTCATCTACTTTTGATTCCCTGTTAACAACAACAGTGTTTTAAAAAGTTGGTAGGTTACTTTCAAATGGTGTTCAGAAGTTGCATGTGTTGTAAGAATTGTTTGTGTATTATAGTTTGCTTGGTAGAAAGTAATGCAAATTGCTTCATTCAGATTATCTTGTTGGGAACTCTGGAAGTAGCTTAGTTGGAGCACTGATTTAGCATACTTGAGGTTCTGCGTTTCCTTCTCAACATGGGTTTTGGGGACATGGACCCTGCATGGTTAAAAAGAATTTCGTTTTCCCAGACACATAAATGAACTGAAATGTAATTGCCTTGTTTTATAAATAAAATTCAGATTATTTCATATATTGTTTTCCAAGAAAATAATTTTTAAAGTTCAGAAGGTAATTCTTTAGGACCATTACCATGATTTTCCTGTCCTTTCTATACATATTTTTCTTTATTTAAACGATCATCTACAGAATGAATGTTTGGGGTATATGGTAAGTGGGTGGGTAATAGAAGAGCCCTCAGGAAGCCCTAAGTCAAATGCAGACAAATAAAGATAGAAATATTGCAGTGTTGTAGAAATCCCTTTCTGAAACATATTAGGCCAAATGTTAACATAGACCTCTCTAGAAGGAAAAGATTGTATGATGATACTAGTTTAGGAGTAGGAACTAGTAACTAAAGGGAATTTCCATCTTTTCCCATCTTATATAGACATTCTCACATATTCCATAAGCTGTTATATTACAGTAAGTGTTCTCTAAATTCTTCAACTTCTTCCAACAGTTTTGAAAAAAAATACATACAATTATTTTTTTCCCTAGAAAATTAGGAAATACCTTCCCTACAGCAGAATTTTAAAAATTGCCTTTGAACTGGTGTGGCTATGAGCCTGTAGTCCTAGTGCTCAAGAAGCTAAAGCAGAGGATCACTTGAATCTATGAATTTGAGATGAGCTTGAGCAATAAGCAACAATACAAAATAAAAACAAATTACATTTGATCCCGGAAAGTAAGTTTTAAAATTGATACTATGAATGTGACTATCTGTTACAGAAGAATAACACTAATCTCTTTTTTAAAAAATTATTTATTTATTTATTTAATATATGTGTGTGCTCTGTCTTCACACACACCAGAAGAGGGAATCAGATCCCATTAAGATGTTGTAAGCCACCTTGTGGTTGCTGGGAATTGAACTCAGGACCTCTGGAAAAGCAGTCAGTGCTCTTAACTGTTGAGCCATCTCTCCAGCCCCTAATCTATTTTAAATTAACATATTCTTTCATATATTACATCCCAACTGCAGTTTCCTCTCCCTTCCCACCTCCGCCTTCTCTAGCCCTTCCTCCTCCCTCCCCATCCACCCTTCCTCTGTTTCCCTTCAGAAAAGGTCAGGTCTCCCAGGGGTATCAACCACACATGGACTATCAAATCTCAGTAAGACTAGACATGCCCTCATATTAAGGCTGGACAGAGCAACCCAGTAGAGGACAGGGGTCCCAGAAGCAGGCAGAAATGTCAGAAACAGGCCTTGCTCCCTCTGTTAGACCCACAAAAGCACCCAGCTACCCAACACTGTAACATACAGAGGGCCTAGGTTAGACCCATGCAGGTCCCTGATTTTTGTTTCAGTCTCAACACTAATCTCTTAATATGCCAGTGAGATGAAATTGGAAAATAATTTTTAATGCAGTCAATGACTTATATTTTGACCAACATTTTTCTTATTTTGTTCAGTAAATGTAACATATGTAATCAGAAAGAAGTCAGTGGTTTCTGTATTTATTACTTTAAGCAAAAAAGGACTTTTTCAAATAAAAATCTTGTTCAGAGCCTCAATTTTAGCCAGGTATGGTGAGGCATGCTTATAATCCAGGTACAGGTTGAAGCAGAAAGATCCAGAGTTTGAGGCTGGCTTGGGCTACATAGTGAGACGCTGTCTCAAAATACATATAAATAGATGGATAAATAAAAAAAATCAAGGCTGGGCTTTAGCTTAGTTGGCATAGTGCCTGCCTAAAGGCATAATGTTTGATTCCTGGGTTTGATTCCTCATAACATAAAACCTACATGTGGTGGCAAAGGTCTGTAATGCCAGTGTACTGGAGGTAGATAATCAGAAGTTCAAGGTCATCCTTGGCTGCATAGTAAATTTGAGGCCAGCCTGGGCTATGTGTGACCCACTCTCAAAAAAAGAAAAAAAATTAAAGAAAGGTAGGCATACTTAAAAAAAAACAAACTCTTACTTACATTTCTTATATCTTCTTCTCCCTACTCCACCCTAATCCCTCCAACACCCCAACACCAGGTAGGAGAGATAATGGGTTAGTGAGAGAGGGGGCATAGTTCTTTCTTAGCTGCTTCCTACTGGTCATTGTTGTAGGATTCCTTGGAGCCAGTTCAATCCTCATTTCAGGAGATCTCCATCTCCTTGTTTCACAACAGCAACTAGGAGCAGCAAGGGGAAAGAAAGCAGCAGGAGCAGGAGCAGCCTTGTTCTTTTTCTTCGCTCTCCACACCCTCTGGGCTCTGGCCTTTATTCTCTCTCCAGAGTCCTCAGATTCAAACTCTCTGTAGCTGGCAAAGAGCTCCTCTCAGATCCCGCATGAGACAAATAGTCTGTTGCTGTGGACCATCTGAATCAGTCCCACATCCCATATGATGGACCAAAACAAAAACATGTTTATATCTACAACAAAAAAGAAAATAAAACCTCAAATTTTAAAACAGCTTGTTTATAGTCAAGAAACTCTTGAGGGGATCGATTGACTTCTGAGTGAATAAAAATATTAATTTGAAACTAATTAATGTAATTTAGAGATTAAGATTATTAGACTAGCTTTCTTTCTGCTTTAGGTTTTTCATTCTGGATACTTAGTGAAATGAAATCACCTAATCTAGAACCGTCTCATTCTACTATCATTTGGCTTCATTCACTGAGCTTAAGGTTTCTAAGGTTTGTAGGATGTATCAGTACTCTACCCGTTTTCATGGCTAGATTATAGTCCATTGTTTTAACACACCACACTTTGTTTACCCATTTATCAAGTGGTAAGTGTTTGAGTTTTTCCCTTTTGTCTGCTGTGAATAATGCTGTGCACATTCAGGTATTGCTGGCTGCACCATTTTATGCTTGCAGTTCCACCAGTAGCATAGTTGGTTCTAGTTTCTTAGTCCCTTTACATTCTCACTCTTATACACAAACTGTTTCTCCCATCCCTCTCTTCTGTGTGTGTGGAGAGTTCTGGGGATGGCCTTATGTGTGCCAATTAAGTACCTTGCCACTGAGATATGTCCTCAGCTCTGCAACACTTAATTGTTTTTTAGACCAGATCTTGCTGTCCAGTTTTAAACTGTGATATCTCTATCTCCACCTTCCAAGTGCCGAGATTTCAGAGCTCTGCCACTAGAACTGACTTGTTATTGACTTTTTTTTTTTTTTTTTTTTTTAGTCATCTTAATATGGATATAAAGTACCATCGCATTGGACTTTGTTTGCATTGCTTGAGGGCTTACACATGGAGATGCTGGAGAGATGGCTCAGGAATTAAAAGCACTTGAAAAGGACCCAGATTTGATTACTTTGTGGCTCAAAACTGTCTGTAATTCCAGTTCTAAGGAATCAAATACCTCTTTTGACCTCCAAGGGTACCAGGCATGCATGTGGTGTACAGACATACATCCATACACATAAAAATAAATCTTTCAAAACAACAAAAAAAAACCCCAAATTTAAATACTTATTTCAAAGATCAGTAAAAGCATGATGGCTTATTTAGACGGATAACACCAGGAACTTTATCATCAGGGCCTAGTATTGTCTGTAAGGTTTAAAATTTTTTACCTTAAAATATTATGACTGCTTCTCTTCCCATTTCATCCCTTCTTCATCTCCCTTTTCCTTTCCCTCTTCTTTTTTTTCCTTTTTCTTCTTTTTCCTCTTCTTCTTCCTCTTATCCTTTTCTGATACTGACTGTAGAACCCAGGACATATTGTAAGGCAAGCTCACTCTATGTCCCCAGCCCTGTGTGTTTCTTAATATTTGGCACTTTCCAAGTTTTTACTTTGTTTTTAAAGGAGAAAAATATGAGGAAGACTTATTTGTTCTGTTTTTTATTTTAATGAAGAAAGTACTAGTAGAAAGAAAAGAATTTGAGGGAAAAATTTTTAATAAAGCATCCTGTCTCTGATGTTTGAATTGGGTTTTGGTAGGGGCCTTAAGATTAAAGAGAGAAAGGAGAAATTATTCTTTTTATTTTATTTTATTTTATTTTTGGAATTACTTTAAAAAAGATTTTTATATATTTTGCTAAGCATTTAAATGAAGAATTACAGAGTTTGGTAAAGAATGTCATAAATATTAAAATGGTGTTTTCTGGCTGCATTTAAGTAATATTCTTTCCACTTTTTTTTTAAATTTTATTCTAGTTCAGTCAAAGAGTGCTGATCCTTTGAAATCAAAACATCAGTTGGATCTAGAGCGTGCCCATTTTCTTGTTACACAAGCATTTGATGAGGATGAAAAGGGGAATGTGGAAGATGCCATAGAATTATATACAGAAGCTGTGGATCTCTGTCTAAAAACCGTAGGTATAGCTATGAGTTAAACTAGATGAAATTATGTTCAGAATTTCCTTCCTTTACTAATGAATTTTATTTATTTTGAAGGAACCCCCTGTTCTATCATTATAAATAAAACTAATTTAATAATCACAAAAAGTGTTAAGTAGAAAGTTAGTAATAGAGTTTTATACCTTATTAAGGTTTTGCCACTACTGAATCACTAAGCAATTGGTTTTAAAAATTATATTTGCTTATTTTTAAACTGTTTAAGGTTATCTTAGTAATGAAAACTTATATAAGAAGAATTGACTATCACAAATCTGTGACTTTAGCATAGATTTATTTCAATTTCATACAGAAAAAAAAAATAAAGTAGTGGTTTGGGAGAGCTTCCTTAACTTGCAATATAAAATCTCTATGCTGAATAGCTCTTAGTACTACCTAATGGACCTTGGTTGAGACTTGGTTGAGCTGAGCTTCAAGGAGCACCTAGGATTTAAGAGCACAGTACACTTGGCAGGAAGATGAGGTAAAGTAGTAGAGGATATTCCCAGTGTCTTTTACATGCCAGCTTTTTGGCAGGCTGTTGTGGTCACTGTACCTTGATTTCTATAACCTTGGAGAACGTAGATTAGTGCTGGTCTCCCAGGTTCCTCCTGCTTAGCCTTCTATGGTAGGTACATGTTTATATGTTTGTGGACTAGTTAGTACTTTCTACAGAATTGGCTTTTAAGTTCACCACAGTGGCAAAATATTCAACATGGTTTTAAATGATAACCTTTAAAGACAGAAATACAAGGTTATATTTATTTATTCCTAACTTTCAGAAGTATATTTTAGTTTTGCATAGGAATATGGATTAAGTAAATTAAAGAACTATGCTTTAGAATGTCTATCTCTTTTTCTTAAGTCTTATGAAACTGCTGATAAGACCCTGCAAAATAAATTGAAACAGTTGGCTCGACAGGCACTAGATAGGTGAGTTTTGTTACTCAAATTCTTATCAATGGGTAGTATGAATTGTGCTTTTTTTTTTTTTTTTAAACATACCATTTATCTTAATGTTCCTCCATAAGCTAAGACTTGCAGGTCTACCCTTTGTCACTGAGTAAATTTACCTTCTCTCTATCTCCTTACTTTAGACCAAGTAAGTAGCCCATCCATTTTTTAAGAAGTCATACCTTTTGCTATACAGAGAGTAGAACTGTGATATTTGATTGATTTTATAGTGCTGATATTACTGAATATCTTTTGGAATTTTGTGGCTTGAATCTAGGATCTTGTGCATGCTATTCAAACATTTTACCACTGAGCTATCTTTTCAAAAATTCCCCAACAGTCATATTTCAAATGGAATACTTCCTCTGTGTTGTGTAATATCAAACTTCCAAGACAACCTTTTTGAAAAGTCCTTCAGAGTTACTGTTAAAAAATAGACATTGAACCAAGCTTGGTGGCGCACACCTGTAATCCCAGCACTTGGGGAGGCAGAGGCAGGTGGATCTCTTTGAGTTCAAGGTCAGTCTGGTCTACAAAGAGAGTCCAGGACAGCCAAGGCTACACAGAGAAACCCTGTCTTGAAAAACCAAACAAAACAATAGACATTGAGAATGGCCTGGCCTTCATTTCCAGCATCATGCCATATGTGTAGCTTCATTTCAAGCTCATGTCACTTCTGAGACCTGCTCTAAGCATTTATTTAAAGTTGTCTCCCCCAATACTTTTATTCTGATTGCTGTTTTAATCTTCTTTCATTGTTCTTACCTCACTGTGGAATATATGAAGAGACCAGTTTGTTGTACTTGTTGTTGATGTCTGTGTTACATTCAGTCTTCATCCCCTAAATGGAAGCTTGTGAAGACAGAATTTTGCCTCTTTTGTTCAGTGCTTAAGTAAGCACCTAGCACAGTGCCTAAACATAGATGTGTTCAGTAGGTATTTGCTAATGAATGGATAATATGTATAAATGTGAATATGTATATGTATAATATGTATACATACATATGTATGCATAGTATGAATAATGCATAAGTGAATTATACCTCTTTCAAAAGTTAAGGTAGAAAACTACTTTTTGTAAAGGAAAGGGGTACAAATTTCAAAAATTCACACTCTAGAAAAAGATGAAATTACCTTAGTTTGAAACTCTACTCATTCCTCTTTTCTGCCTCTTTCTTTGAAGTATAACTCATCCCTTCTCTACGTCATCATCAGCTGAGCTTTAGTTTGTTTACCCAAATTCATGAAGTTATGAGCAGTTGACATGGTTGCCTTCTCCAGGTTCCATGACGTGGGGTGACCCTGTTCAACTGACATAATTGTTTTCTCTCTGTTGTGATTTTTTTTCCAATTAGAATCATGGTTGATTTTTATCTTTGTGTAGATAAACATCCAGTATTTCTGAGTCCATCCTAAGCAAAGGTAGGTGGATTGAGGTGTCAGCTATAGGCTCCTTTGAGATCTGTTGAAGATTAAGGACCTTCTTTCTAAGAAAGTGTATGTCAAGTGTTCCCGGAGTGTTACACGACTCCTGAAGCTCATATGTGGATCTTAGGTTAAGAACTTTTTTAGCTTGTTCTTTGACAGAACAGTCAAAATCCTCTTGCATATCGCATGATGCCCTCTGTCTTGCTTTTCTCTCAGTCCATTTCCTGCTGTCTCTCATTTGTACTTTTAACAGGGCCTGTACCCATCCTTTTGAAGTTCCCATAGCTTACTCTACTGTCTGATACTACTGCATACTCAGTATCTGCTTTCTCACTGCAGGTGAACTTCTCCAAACTCAAGTATTAAGTCTAAGCATCTTTTCCCTTGCTTCACCCTCTTTTCTTGGTCATTAGGCCTATTATTAATTTTTTTATGTATTCATTTGCACAAAATGCTTCTATCCTGGCATCTATTATTTTGACACAGTTGTCGTTTTTATTCACAAAACCTTAGGGATAGGATTTATACGTTATTATACAACCTTTACCTTGCCCAGTATCTGACAGATAGTAAATGTTCCTAAGTAGTACTTACAAAATATGTGCAGTAGCTTACATGGAGAGGTTTTTATTTTATGAACTGGCTTTACATTAAGATGCTTTTACTAACTAGAGATAAGTTTTGTGTTCTGTAAGTTTAAATGAAACACTTACGAGGCAGAGGCAGGAGGATCAGAGCTTCAAGGCCAGACTACTACATAGCAGTTTGAGGCCAGCCTCTTTATGAGACTTTCTCATAAAAACAAAAGCCTAAACATAAGATGAAAACCAGAACAGTTATTCTGTGCTTCTGTTTTAGAGCAGAAGCACTGAGCGAACCTTTGACAAAGCCATTTTGCAAACTCAAGTCAACAAATATGAAAACGAAGACCCCTCCAGTAAGGACACATCTTCCTCTAGGATCTAATCCTTTCCTTGAAAAGCCTCAGCCATTTATAAGTCCACAGTCATGTGATGCACAAGGACAGAGATACACAGCAGAAGAAATAGAAGTGCTCAGGTAAAGCTGCTTATGACTTGATGAAAACTTTAAATATAATCCGGTCATTTCATGCTGACTTGGTTTTTGATCTTTGTTGTGATGTTGTGCTGTTATTTAACTGCATTAATCATCATATATCAGCTTGAATCGTTCAAATTTGTTGGTTCTAATATATTTTAGTGTTAGGACTTTTAACTAGACATTTTATAAATGTATGAATGTATGTATATCCTAGTACTCTGCAGACCTGAGTCCTGAAGATTGAGGAGCATAGCAGTTGCAGCAGGTTGCTAATGCCCTGTGCACTTTGTAACCAGAGCTGTCACGGAGGTGGGGTTCCTTCGAAATATCCAGCAACTAAAAGTCTGGAGTTGGGCTAGAAAGATGTCTCAGAGGTTAAGAGCGCTGGCTGCTCTTCCGAAGGTCATGAGTTCAATTGCCAGCAACCACATGGTGGCTCACAACCATCTAAAATGAAATCTGGTGTCCTTTTCTGGCGTGCAGGTTTACATGCGAACACACATTGTATACGTAATAAATAAATAGTCTGGAGCTGTGGATACATTTTCATTTTTTAAGAGTTAAAAAAAATGAAAATAGAATTATGACAGAGACCACTTTGTAAAACCTCAGCTGTGTATTATGTCAGTCTTAAAAAAAAAAAAAAGACCTATGATGATGTAGAGATCCTTGACTGTCTTCGGAGCCAGTTGATCAGTTGAGAGAGGATAAATCTTTGAGCCAGCTGGCTGTTCCTGACCTGAGCCGGTCATATAGGTGTTCATTTTAAATTTTCCTGGGGTTGAGTTGAGTGGCATTCCCGCCTACATCACAGCTTTCCAGAACATCTTCCTTTCTTGCTGAAAATTATAGTTACACACCTATTAGCCTGGTTCCTTTGTCTAGGAAAAATATTATGTGAACAAACAGTACAAAACAAAACAATAAAAAGGTTCCTCTTAAAGCTGAGGCTTTAAATTAGTGTCTTAAGTTTACTAGTGCTGTAATAAAACACCATGATGAAAGCATTTTAGGGAGGACAGGGTTTCTACAGCCATGCTGCCACAGCACTGTGGTCATCAAAGGGAGTCAGGACAGGGTCTTAAGCAGGGCAGGGACCTGGAGGCAGAAGCCAATGCAGAGACCATGGAGGGTGCTGCCTACTAGCTTGCTTCTCATGGTTTGCTCAGCCTGCATTTTTAACAGAATACAGCATCACCAGACAAGGGATGGCATCATCTACAATGGGCTGGATCCTACTGCATGAATCACTAATTAAGAAAATATTCCACAAGCTTGCCTACAGCCCAATCTTACGGAGGCATTTTCTCAATTGAGGGTGGCCAATACAGTGAAAATTCATCATTTGGCTACTCAGTATCTGTATGCTTTTATATATACTATACATTTGAAATTCCACATGTAACAAAACAGTCTCAAAACACAGCTATCCTTCATATAAGTGAAAATGAGGATATATGTCCTAACACTTACCATATCCATTGCTGACTACATTAATCTTCAAATTCACTGAGTATTATTATCCAAAGACTAAATAAGTTACTCTGCAACTACTCTAAAAAAAGAAAGAAGACAGAAAGAAAGAGAAAGTTAAGTTACTAAACATGATGTCATATGCTACAGTTCCAGCACTCTAGATGCTGATGTAGGGATTTTTAAGTTCAAGGCCAGCCTGATAGCCTGGGCTGCATAGCAAATCCCTGTTTGAGTTAACAACAACAAAATAAACCCTTAAAAGGAGATAGTTAATATACATAAAACATGCAGAGCCTCTGCAAACCTCACTTGAATGTGTCAACAGATCATAGCTATTTCTATGACACTTCCTTCTTCTAGGACTTGGTCCATATTCTATAGTCAGAAAGTTAGAAAGACCACATTTTTCAGAGTTTTATTGTTTTAAAATCCCGAATAACTAAGTTATTGCTTAGCTTGGCAGCTAAGATAGACATGACTTTGTATCCCTGTATTAGACACAAAGGCCTGTTTTAAGACTACAGTTTTTTTTTGTTTTTTGTTTTGTAATGGATGTCAAATGTTTTTTGTTTTTTTAGTTCCCATTGTTGGTGCTATTTTAGTTAGTTAAATTTTTGTGCTGAGGATTGAACCTTTTATACATGATAGCAAAAGTGCTACCACTGTGTTATATCCAAAGTCCAGGATATTAATTTTAAAAGAATGTTCTTATTAAACTGAATTATAGCAGCTACTATCTGGTATTTCTTTTAGCTGAACTGTCCAAATAAAGATTTGAACACCATGAAGTTGTCAATTTAATACAATATCAGACTTTATCACTGAAATTTTACTTTTGGTATTAGCTAAAAGACTGAGAAGCTGTTGTCATTTAAACTTAGAGTTTAAGTAAGATTGGTAACTAACATAGACTTGAAAACTTAGATTTTTTTTTCTTGTGCCTTATAGGACAACATCAAAAATAAACGGTATAGAATATGTTCCTTTCATGAGTGTTGATCTGAGGGAACGTTTTGCTTATCCAATGCCCTTTTGGTAAGTAAACACTTAATTTTTTGCGTCCAAGATCATTTAAAGAGTTTTTCGGTACTCTGAAGTTCAATTTAATTCATAATCCTGAAATTAAATTTTGTATACAAAGTTGGTTGGAAGAAAGGAATATTTACGGAAAAGAGGAGGAAAAATTGTCCAAATAAAGATCTGAACAACATGAAATTGTCAGTTTAACACAATACCATGATACAGTACCACAATGTCACATTTGTTTTAATTGGCCTGGTCATGGGTCATGGGGATTTTTTTTTTTTTTTAAACCTAACATTATAGACATAATGTTTAATATAATACTTGGCACAGAGTAAGTACTGAGCAAACATTTTTCTAGTTGATGATTGGATACAATGGAAAAAAGTCCAGGACGTAATGTGTTTAGAGATGTACACAAATACCTACACAAAAGATATTGTTATCATAATAATAAGAATAACTCACTCTAGTATGTGCTGAATGGATATATTTAAGATGTAAATTTGTGTTTTCAATTTATATGTAGCAAATTAAGATAAATCACATCTCTAATGCTGGAATTCCCAAAAGAAAAATATAGCACAAGCAACCAAAATTTGGGACAGTTTAATAATATAATTGAAGCCAGGCATGGTGGTGCATGCCTTTAATCCCAGCAGTCTGGGAGGTAGAGGCAGATGGATCTGTGAGTTCGAGGCCAGCCTCGTCTACAGAGTGAGTTCCAGAGCAGATGTTACATAGAGAAACCCTGTCTCAAAAAAACCAAAAAACAAACAAACAAAACAAAAAACCTAAAGAAACAAACAAAACAATATAATTTAAAAGTTAAACATAAACTGTAGAAGTTCCTTTAATTTACAGGAGAACACTTTGTTCAGGGTGGTGTGGACATAGACAAAGTGCCTTTAATTAAGGGATGGTATATCACAGTTGGAAGTTTTCTTTTCTCCTCTATATATAATTACTTGCTTAATACATGTCCCCTACTGGGAATTACAAGCTTTATATCTGGTAAACTAAGTCCCACCCCATATTTAGCACAATATCTGTTATAAATACTCAAGATTTACTGAATGACTTAAATTTGGAGAGGAATGGATAAATACTAAAATTAAGTGGCAGAATTTTCTAATTTTTGTCATCTAAATTATTTTACATAGAGAATAGTCAAAAGAAAAAATGATCGTTAACATTTAAAATTCATTTAACAGAACTGACAGGAAAAGAGCTTCATAGTTTAATTTCATTTTGAGCAGTGTTTCTCAACCGCCTAATGCTGTGACCGTGTAATACAGTTCCTCGTGTTGTGATGACCACGACCATAAAATTATTTCATTGTTACTTCATAACTGTAATTTTGCTATTGTTATGAGTTATAATGTGAATATCTGATATGCAGGATATCTGAACCCCTCTGTGAAAGGATTGTTTGAATTCCCTAAGGGGGTCGTGATCCATAGGCTGAAAACCATATTTAGAGAGTAATCAAACTTAATTATTTACTTTCTGGTATCCCAGTGCTGTTAATCTTTAAGTCATAAGCATTGCATTTTCTAGAGTACAGTTAGTAGCCTTATGAGTCTAGGGAAAGAAATGTGTTCAAGTTCTGACTTTTAATTACTCAGTGATTTGAGAGGACAAATATTATGGAGTCCTAAATTTATTCTGTAGTATAGGTTATATGGAAGATTAGTAAGGGTTAGTAAGAGATAAAATTATAGGTTTGAATTAGCTTTGATTTTCTCTTACAAGTATGTGATTGCTGTCTTTAAACGCCTAAGTTCACCCAGTTCTGTTTCTGTTTATAATCGGTTCCTAACATTCCATAGGTTCTAACTAAAATATTACCTGGAACAGTAGAGGTTCTGTCAGATGATCATCAAAATGTCTGAGAGAGCAGGTCTGATGGCACACACCTGTGACTGCAGCACTCAGGAGGTAGAGGTAGCGTGGGCCTAAGTTCCAGAACATGCCTTAACATTTAAAACTAAAAAACGATTTTGAGCAGTGTTGTAGGGAATCTTTTCTACTCGAGATTTACAACAACATGGACTCATAAAAGTCTAGAGGTGTCCTACCTACAGTGAAGAAAGTACTTGAGCACAAAATCTTTATCCAACACTCATCAGCATTCTTGGAAAAGAAATATTACACAGATTTGTTTTAGTTCACATATTGCACATTATCACAAAATCTTTTGAACTCTAGAGAGGTGTTGGCATTGCTGTAGGACGGTGAAGGTTGGGGTGGGGAAGTGGGTGGTTTTATTTGGTGTTACAGGTCAGTTTTAAAGAGTAAGCACAGTGGTCCCAAGTAAATGTTGCCTCCTCTAGAGGATTCCTAGACCAGCAATGAAGAGTACCCCATCCATTACTCTGATTTTCCCATTATCCTCATCTTAGCTCTATGGAGACCATCTCCCATGTTTGTCAAACACTATTCTAGACAAAGCAGAATAACGAAGTGGTAGGGGTAGGTTCTCAATAAATGGATCTAAGCTGAATAAAATCTAACATTCATTGATCAAAAAAAAAAAAATAGTTCCAAAAGTTTGTGTATATACACCAAATTCCCTCCATCATTCTTATCTTGTTTTATAGCATCATAGTACAAAATAAATATTGGTACAGTATTTATCCCTAAAAAAAAAAAAAAAAAAAAAAAAAGAGTAAGCACAGAGCAAGTACAGTATAATGGATAAAATGGTGGATGCAACCCCATAGACTTTGATTCAGACGTCACTTCTTAGCTGTTTGACCTTGGTAACAAGTTTTTGCTTTCCCCCCAAAATGCTTAACAGAATACAGTTAGTTTGAGGATGTAAGTGAAGAATAATATATAAAGCATGTTAGCATGATGCTCGGCACAAAGCTCACTATTTAGTAAGTTAGCTAGTCTTTCTGTCCTTTTCAAGAGGCAAGGGAAGGATCTGTATTTCCTGGGCCTCAGTGGATCAGCTTGTGTTGTTAATGACTCCATTTTATTGCTGAGTTTCCTGAATGTCATAACTGTGTTAACTGCCTCTACCATATTTTTAAGTATAAACCTCTGTATATATTTTAAATATAAACCTCTGCCTTTACTTACTCATGTTTATTTTTTTAAATTGGAGAACATTTTCAGATTGACTGATTTTAAGGTTATGTGTAGAGAACCAGATTTGACTGGTTATTTTGGGAAGACAAGTATAGCTGTATGATCTCTGTGCCGAAAAGAAGGTTTAATTCTGGTTTCAAAGTCATTTAAAAAAAAAATAATAATATATATTTTTAACTTTTATTATTACCTCAGTGATAGATTGGGCAAGCTTCCATTATCACCTAAACAAAAAGCTACATTTTCTAAATGGGTACGACCAGAAGACCTCACCAACAATCCTACAATGATATATACCGTATCCAGTTTTAGCATAAAGCAGGTAAACATTTATTTTGTATAATGTTCAAGAAAATTGGCACACTAAAGAAATTTGAATCTAGATTTGATTTTTTTTTTTTAGATTGTATATATTTAGGTGCATGAGTATAATTGCAAAATTTTTTCATTCTTCACATGATTTTTAGCTTAATTTGGTAGCACATAGCTGTAACCTCAGCATATTGGACTACGTAGTAAGTTTGAGACCAGTCTGGGCTGCATTACAAGATTCTTTTCTCAAAACAAGACCAAAAATTTGTTAATTTTTTTTTTTTTTTTTTTTTTTTTTTTTTTTGTCTTCAGAGACAGTGTTTTGCTCTGCTTCCTGAGCTGGTCTTAAACTCAGTTATCTCCAGCATCTAACTCCCAAGTAGTTGAGATTACGCATGTGTGCCACCATGTCCAGTATATTGTGTATATTTTGGCATTAACATTGAGAAATTTATGAGACTGTTCTAATCAATTACAGATTTTATTTTCAGTGCTGGGAATTGAATTTAAGGTCTTTTACATGCTAGGCTGTTGTAGTAAAGAAAAATGAGTATGGGGATATATATTATTTGTTATTAGCCTTAAGATTATCATAGTGGTACTATCCCTCCTACTATCACAAATAATAAGACACAGACACCTGTTAGATTTTATAATGCCTTATTTACCTTGGGCTGGGCAGATAGTTCACCTACACCGTCTCAGTAACCTCACCATCCACCTCCCAGCCCCCATCCAATACCATTCTCCTTAACCATCCTCATCTGAGCCATCTTCCATCCCTAATCTTATAAATACTTGCTTGTATTCTTCATCTGGGCCTTCCCATGTCATTATTGGAGTCCTTCCTCCAGGCCCATGTGATTTCTTCTCCACATTAACCCATTGTCGCATCTTCCTTCCTCCTCTCTTCCTGTCTGTCTTCTTCCCATGATTCTTCTGTCCTCAAAAGCCCGGAACCTTAGTCATGCCTAACCAATTCTACCCTGCTCAGGAATAGGCCATCTGTTTAATGAACCAATCAGGTATGTCTTAGGCAGGTTTTCACAGCAAGGATAGTATACCAGGGAGTAACCAGATCTTGAGGCCCAGCATCAGAGCAACCCCAACACTAGGCAATCACCCTATCACTGAGCTACAGCCCCAGTCCCAATGATAGATTTTTATGTCTGTAGATGTGAAACTAGAGAATTGTTTTTCACCTTTGACAAGGAAATAGTTATAAAAGACTTAATTACTTAAGTATTTAATTCTTGGGGGCTAGGGGGTTGGCTCAGTCAGTGAAGTACCTACATAAGGACCTGAGTTTGCATACCCAAAAGCACATAAAAGGGTGATGGCTCAGTGATTAAGAGTACTGGCTGCTTCTCCAAAGGACCCAGGTTCAAGCTAGCATCCATATGGCAGCTCATAACTGTATCCAATCCCCTCTTCTCACCTATGTGGGCACTACTGGGCACACATATTATGTACAGATTTATATACAGACCAAACACCCATACACATTTTTATTTAAAGTCAGGGATGCAGAGATAGGAGGATCCCTGAAGCTCTTTGGCCAGCCAACCCACTTGAATTGGTAAGCTTCAAGTTCACTGAAGGACCCTCTCTCAAAAAGTAAAGGGTAGATGAGTTTGGTTGCCACTCCTCATGTATGGTGGCTCACAAGGCCTCTAACTCCCAGTTTCAGGGTAGCCAATGCCTTCTCTTGGTCTGAATACCTGGGTACTCATACCCATGTGTACACACAGCCCAAAATAGACACATACAGAGATACATAATTAAAAATACACACACACACAACCCTAAGGATTCTAAATGAGCTTGATTGAAATACTTTTTTTAGAATTTGTTTGAATAAAATATGCATGGCATTTCTATTTTCCTGTTTGAATAATAATCAAGATATTTTATATAAAAGCTAAAGATACAGGTGTAATGCATAGATACTATACAAATGTTCAAATTACATGAATGAAAGAATACATTGTTCTTTTTAACAGACAATAGTATCAGATTGTTCCTTTGTGGCATCACTGGCTATCAGTGCAGCTTATGAAAGACGATTTAATAAGAAGTTAATTACCAGGTAAATTTCTGTGTTTGTCCTTTATATGATTGTTACTTAATTAGAAATTTAAAACTTAAACCACAGGCATGTAGAAGGTGGAAAGGGCACTAGACTATCGTGGCCCTTCTGTGCAGGTTAAACAGATGATTCCTGAAAGTAGAAAGTTCTTCTACAGCACTAAGAGCATATGCACATACAGCAAAATAATGGATGTGTTTTGAAATGGATGTAATCAAAGTAGAAACCATGCTCCTTTTATATCTTGTAATTTTTTACTGTACAGTGGGTTAGCCACTAGATACTTGTGGTTACTGAGGAATTGAAATAGATTATTTTGAGTTAAGATGAGATGTGAATACAAAATGTACATGAGATTTTGAAAACTAAGCATTAAAATTTTGAAATAGGAAAATATCTCTAAAGTATTGAGTGTATGTTGAAATAATAATTGGATTAAGCAAAAATATGTTATTAGAGTCAATTTGATTTTTAACTTTGTTTTTGGTTTTGGAGACAGAGTCTATGTTGCCTGGCTAGCCTGGAACTCACTGTGTAGACCAGGCTGTTCTTGAACTTATAGAGATACACCTGTTCCTGCCTCCCTAGTGTTGAGATTAAAGGCTTTTTCATTTTTAACTTTTAATGTGGCTATAGGAAAATAGAAAATGGCATGCGTTAATGTTGAGTCTAACAGCTTTAAAATTTCTTGAAATGTTTCTGAAAGTTTTTTTTTTTTTTTTAGTTTTTGAAAGTTGTATTAAGCTTAAAACCACTCAGTGTAATTATTTAAAAATTTTTAAATTTTATTTAAGTTTATTTACTTTATATCCCAAGGATGCCCCCTCCCTTCTCTCCTCCCAGTCTCCCACTCAGTAATGATCATCACAACTTTTGTTTAGCTTTTTCTAAGAATAAAAGATAAGACAGAGAATTAGAAACTAGTCTAAAGTCAGCCTCAAAGCATGTAAGACCCTGCTTCAGAATATTGTGAAAATTTATGTTCTAGCTTCTGATTTTAGAAACTATTATCTGGGAGTGGTGGTACCTTTGGGAGGCTGAAGCAAGGGGGATCATGAGTTCCAGACCAGCTTGGCTACTTAGTAAAATCCTATCTCAAAAGGAAAACCAAAACCAAGAAATATTTAAAATATTAAGATATCCTTGTGTTCATTTTTATAAAATTGGAAAGAAAATAATATTTATAAATGAATGGCATATGTTTAAATGTAATGTAAAGTCTTATATTTTGATGTTGAATATTAGCACTGTTATTTTAATTGTTTTTTTTTCCAAAAGCATAATTTACCCACAGAATAAGGATGGCGAACCAGAATACAATCCCTGTGGAAAGTATATGGTAAAACTTCACCTCAATGGTGTCCCAAGAAAGGTGAATTTCTCTTTTTTTTTTCCAAATCCCTACATCCACTTCTTCTTTTTTTACTTCCTCACCTTTGAATCTTGAAGGGATACAACTAAGAAAAGTTGATTGTGTAAAAATTTAAAAAGTCAGTTTAGTTGATTTGAATTTGTAATATATTGTACATATTACTATCAATAGAATAATTTGTTAGTAATTAAAAATAAAACCTATTAGAAATTTAAAAAATTTTAAAGATTTATTTTTTATTTTGTGTGTGCATGAACACACTTGAGCAAGAGCCATATATATCTGCAGGTGCCTATGGGTGTCAGATCCCCTGAAACTAGAATAGCTAAAACAATCCTTTCCAATAAAAGATCTTCTGGAGGTATCTCCATCCTTGATCTCAAGTTGTACTACAGAGCAACAGTAATAAAAACCACATGGGGCTGACATAGAAACAGACTGGTGGATCAATGGAGTTGAATAGAAGACCCAGAAATAAACCCACACACCTATGAACACCTGATTTTTGACAAAGATGCCAAATCTATACAATGGAAAAAAGACAGCATCTTCAACAAATGGTGCTGGTCTAACTGGAAGTCTGCATGTAGAAAAATGCAGCTAGCTCCATACTTATCACCCTGCACAAAACTAAAGTCCAAACCAGACACATTAAACCTGCTAGAAGAAAAAGTGGGGAAGAGCCTTGAACTCATTGGCACAGGAGACAACTCCCAAACTCATTTTTTAAACTATAAAATCCTTGAACTTGTAATCCTAAACCTTGGGAATAGCCTAGATTACAGGCCTGTACCACATTCTGATTTCGTATGTCTAGCCAGACCAGAACTTGCCTAATAAGTTCCGTGCTCATGTTGATGCTGATACTGTTGTTTGGGAACAACTGTTGAGAATTATTTTGATTACTTAAAAACTAAACAATTTTGAGAAAGATAGTAATCTCTTGTTCAAGAGTCTTTCAGTATTGAGCATGGAGACATATACCTATACCTAGTGCTCAGGAGGCTAAGACAGAAGGATAGCTAGTCAGAGGCCAGCCTAGACTACATAGTCTCTTTCAAAAAAAAAAAAGGTTCATATATGGTATGAATCTTTTTGTAGAGTTAAACCAAAAATAGCAGGGCTCTTTTGTAATTTTAAATATAATGAACATTCTAGAATGTCTAATTTTGATTTTATATACATACACACACACACACACACACACACACACACACACACACACATCTTATGTGTAACTAGTAGCTTACTTGTCAGTGAGTTTAGCTTCTAAGACTGAATAAAGACATTATATTTAAATGATGAGCATTGCTGGGCAGTGGTGGTGTATGCCTTTAATCCCAGCACTCTGAAGCAGAAGCAAGTGGATCTGAGTTCAAGCCAGCCTGGTGTACACAAAGAAGTGCTGTCTTGAAAAAACAAAAACAACAACTAAAAAAAATTGAGCATTTTATAAAAGCTGTTATTATCTTTTCTTTTTTTTTTGTTTTTTTATTTTTGTTTTTCGAAACAGGATTTCTCTGTGTATCCCTGTCTGTCCTGGACTCACTTTGTAGACCAGGCTGGCCTTCAACTCACAGAGATCCACCTTCCTCTGCCTCCCAGAGTGCTGGGATTACAGACCACCACCCCACCCAGATATCATTATCTTAATAATAGGTATACTGTGTCCATTGTTGATGCAGTTTTTTTAATCTTGTGATTTATTTTCTCTTACTTAAGAAAGTTAATATTCTCTTTTTGCAGGTAATAATTGATGATCAGTTACCTGTAGATCACAAAGGAGAATTGCTGTGTTCTTACTCCAACAATAAAAGTGAATTATGGGTATCACTTATAGAGAAAGCATACATGAAAGTTATGGGAGGATATGATTTCCCAGGATCTAACTCAGTAAGTCATGGATAATCATTATATATACATATATATATATATATATATATATATATATATATATACATATACATATACATATATATATATATACACACACACACACACACACATGCACACATACATACACTTATATATTTGAAAGCTGAAAAATTATAGATGTTTTTCCTTACGGGAAAATAATGCAGAGTATCAATCCTCAAGAAATGTGATATTTCCTTATGATAATGATACATGTTTTCTTATATAAGGACAGCACATTATATAAATTATATATCCAGAATAGCCTAAATGTTCATTGAGATAAAGAACATTGTGTTTTTCCAAGTCAGTGGAGGGGTGGGTACCATACTGATATTCTTATGTATATCTTTAATTGTAAGTTAAGGTATAAGGAATTGTTTTTCAGCCATCATTAATAAAACCTGTAAAATCAAAACGTGTGCTGGGGTCCTTCATTTGCATGAGTCAAACTATTAGATTTAAACCATAAATTAGTCAAATTAACAACTTCAAATTTTTATAATAACCAGCATGTGGCCTTTAGAAGTGGTCTAACTTTCCTCATTGTGTCTACATTATATTTAAATTCATGTCTTAGGGTTTGCAAAGATTGAATCAGTGGGGAATGGCATAGCTCTTGGGAGGCTGAGATAGAAGGATTGCTGTGGTCTTGAGGCCAGCCTGGGCTACATAGTGACTTCAGGAAGAGATACAAGAGACCCTGTGTGCATAGAAAACATGCATTAATAAATGCAAATCATCCATCACTTGTAACTGATAAGTTTCCTTGCCTAATGAGTGCTTCGTGTTTCAGGATCTTCCAGTGCAAGGCAGTGGATGTAAAGGTTGTATTTAAATGAAATAGATATTCGGTTTTACTTCCCAGCCTTCACATTCAGCTATTATGTTCTTTCAGATACTTTTAGTTTAGCTTTGTAATTCATTGTCTTTTGTTACTATGGTTTTGGTTCTGGTTTTGAGACAGTATTTTTCTATGGAGCCTGGAACTCTATGTGGTGTCCTGGAACTGGCTATATAGACCAGGCTGGCCTTGAACTCTGCTAGAACTGTCTGATTGTAAAAACTCACTATACAGTAAATAACTGTTGTCATTAAAGCAATCTCATGTTACATTTTGAGTGCTGCCATATTTACCAGTAAAAAAAAAAAAAAAATTTATGAGGCTGTATAGATGGCTCAGCATTTAAGAGCATCTGCTGCTCTTGTAGAGGTGCTGAGTTCTGTTCCCAGCCCCCAACATGCCAGCTCACAGCTGTCTCTAACTCCATTCTAAATAGAGGGTCAATGCCTCTGTGGGCTTCCATGGGCACCAGGCACCGGTGTGGTGCACAGACAGACATGCATGCAGGCAAAACACCCATACACATTGTCTTAGTTAGGGTTTTTATTGCTGTGAGCAGACACCATGACCACAGCAATTCTTATAAAGGAGCTGGCTTACAGTTTCAGAGGTTTAGTCCATTATCATCGTGGTGGGAAGCATGGTAGTGTGCAGGCAGACATGGTGCTGGAGAAGGAGCTGAGAGTTGTACATCTTGATCTAAAGGCAACAGAAGGAGGCTGTGAGCCACACTGGGCTTAGCCTGAGCATGCGACCTCAAAGCCAGCCTGGACAGTGGCATGCTTCCTCTAACAAGGCCACACCTCCTAATAGTGCCACTCCAATGGGCCTGTGGAGGCTATTTTTATTCAAACTACCACACACATAAAAATAAATCTTTTTAAAAAATTCTCTTGAGTTCAGATAGCAGAAGAGCAACCTCATCTTCAGATTTAGACCTATCAAGATCATTATGGCAAATCAATGAGCTTTAATAGCTCTCCTGAGGATTTGTTTTTAACAGCCTGAAACCACTGACAGCTCTGAAATCTGTTTATGTTTCAGAACATTGATCTGCATGCTCTGACTGGGTGGATACCAGAAAGAATTGCAATGCATTCAGACAGCCAGTCCTTCAGCAAGGACAGCTCATTCAGAATGCTCTATCAAAGGTAATTGTGTTTCCTGCCCTCTCCCCTTCTTTCATTCCCCCCTTCCATTTCTCCTTTTGAAGCAAACAAGGTTGTTTAAAGGCATCATGCTTTATTTAGGGTAGAGATTATAAAGTTGTCATCCTCTGTTTTTTGAGAAGTACAGGTGGATCTCCAGCTTGTGATCTTCCTGCCTCAGCATTGTGAGTGCTGGGATCACCTCTGCACACGCTCCTCCAGCTGCAGCAGTCTCTGCCAGTCACTGGGAAATAGCTTTTCACAGACTTCACAGACCCAGTGGCTACAGTTAATCCAAATTTTAGAAAATCCAAAGTAATTGAATATGGGTGTGGAAAAATCATTGGCTCCTACTAAGTACTTATCAAGTTTGAAAGAAGAGGGGAAAAGAAGTCTTAAGAGTTTAAACTGTAAGTGGATAATGTATATGGAGGTACTAAGAAATTCTCTACATCATGACAGGCATACAGTATCAAAAGTAGGAAACCTTGTGATTTGGTAAATAAAGCCAAATCTCTTTTGGAGAAGTAAATTTGATAAATAAGTAAATCCTTATTTGTAAGCTGAAAATTTAGCACTTATTTTTCTTCACTAATAGGTTTATGCCTGAAAATTAAGTTGTCCTGGAAAAAAAAAAAATTCATCTGTTAGAATAGCCACTTTTTGTGTGTGTGTGTGTTTTTTTTTTTTTTTTTTTTTTTTAAGATTTCAAATTTGAAGCTTTCATGTAAGCCAGTAGATAGTATAGGAAAGGTACTCTGAGCTGAGATTTCACATGCATCTTCTTCTAACTTCTTGTCTTGGGGTCTTTGCAGATTTCACAAAGGGGATGTCCTCATTACTGCATCAACCGGAATGATGACTGAAGCTGAAGGGGAGAAGTGGGGCCTGGTTCCCACACATGCATATGCTGTTTTGGATATTAGAGAGTTCAAGGTTATGCCTCATAATTTTATTTTTTTTCTTGATTGATAAGATGTTATAGTACTGCAACAATGACCAAACTTTTAGAGCCATCCTACCAATGTAAGCAACTTGGATTCTACCATTGGATATTAGGAGGAAAGGAGGAAAATGAAATTCAGTGACAGTATAGATAATGACAATAGAACACGGATGCCATTACATAGTTTTCCTTTCCATAAAAGTTACCACACTTGGGACTGGAGAGATGGCTCAGTGGTTAAGAGCACTGCCTGCTCTTCCAGAGGACCCAGGGTTCAATTCCCAGCACCCCCACTGGCAGCTCACAACTGTCTGTAACTTCAGTTCCAGGGAATCTGACACCCTCACACAGACATACATACAGGCAAAACACCAATGCACAGTAGCATAAAAAAATCATTAAAAAAGTTACCGCAGTTGAGACAAATACACAGCTCTGAAGGTCTTAGATTGCTCTAGGGTATAGAAGACAAATATATGTGTGAAAAGGAAAGTAGGAAGATGGCTAGAAATAAGAGACGCTTTGAGTCTGTGTGCATATGCATATTTCTTGCTTGAACTCTTTGCAGGCTTTAGACCCTTTCTCAGTATGTCCCTGGGGCTAAGTAAGGTACTAGAAGATGTGGCCTTATTACTTCTCTGGTTATTATTATTTTTAAATGAAAACAAAAAAACCCTGATGAGTTCTCTGCAGTAGAAACAAATATTATTAAGTGCCCTTCCTTAATAGAATAGAGAGACAAGATCATTCAGCAAAAACAGTATCCATTATTTGTTAATTAAACTATTAAAATAGGTGTTAAGTTGGCATGCAGAAATAGGTCATTTAGCCTCAGGATATAATCCAAGAAATTTGTTCGTGATTTTGTTGTTATGCAGACATGAGAGTGTACTTACAGAAGCCTAGATGATATGGTCTACTACACAGCTAGGCAATATTGTGTCTGTCTGTCTGTCTTGTTCCTAGGGCCTTCAGGAAGAAATACGAGATTAAATCAAACACAAGAGAAAATGGCGCAACAGGAGACACAAGATGTGTGAAGCTCTTGTTAGCTTAAGGCAGCAGCATACAGTTTTACAGTTAAGGTTTTTTGTTGTTTTTTTTTTTTTTTGACAGGGTTTTGCCATGTATCCCAGGCTGGCCTTGAACTCCTAACCCTTCTGCCCAGCCTCCCAAGTCCTGGGATTTACAGGTACGTGCCACCATGCCTGGCTCCCCCCCCCCCCCCCCCCCGTAGGAGTATGTTCTAAAATAATGATTAAAAATACAGGAAGTACAGGAAGTATATAAGCTAGTGCTATAAATATTTGTCATTATTAGGTGTTGTTCACTATGTAATTATATGTGCTGTACTATAGTCTTTACAGTTAACAGTGTTTGTTTTTCAAGCTTCACAACAAAAGAAAAACAAATTTAAAAAAATAAATAAAAGCTAAAATTCCAGAACTCGAGACAGAATAGGAAGCAAATTAAAGGCCAGCTTGGGCTACATAGTCACTCTGGGGTGTGTAATAAGACCTTTTCAAGAACAGATACATGGTATATAACAGTAGTAACTGTTAGTCTTAATATTTTGGCCAGTGATTGTGGTAGGTTCAGTTCTAAACAAGCCTCCTAGCTTGTTGAGTTACAAATGTGTGCAATGCATAGGATGGCTGTGATGTCACTAAGTGGCAGGAATTTTCAGATCCATTATAATCTTACATAAGGTCCATCACTGCTAAATGCTCTTGTGGCACATGATTGCACAGGGATGGGAGGCAGTTTGAGCCTGCCACACCAGTTAAACTTTAAGACTCTACTGTACAATGTAGCTGATTGGCAGAGCACTTCACCAGCAGGCATGAGGATGGAGATTCAATCCTCAATCCTCAGTAGAACTTACGCTCTCAAGGCTTTATGAACTAGGTGGGATTCCCAACCCCAACCGTATTATATAGAATTGTGTCTTTCCTTAAACACAGCAGTAAAATTGACTCACTTAAAGCAAAAAGTAAAAAAGTTAATGTAAAAAAAGGCCAAAATGTGTGCTTGTTTTAGAACTGCAGTTTTCGACACAGGAGTACCGCAGTTAATGGTCACTGTCCAGGCCTGAGCTCCTTTTCCTGTGAGGGCCTCCTGTGAGGCTGCTGTCAGTGCACTGTGAGGAATAGTAAGATAGTGGCATGCAACTTAAGTCTGGATACTGAAACAACAGCCATTCTGATTACAAATTGGTGCCACTAGTTGTGTATTGATTTCTTAACAGTGATTCTGTAAAGACTGAGACATTTTACTGGAGTATGTGTAAACAAAATAAGCTGAGGCCCAGTAATAGGTTTCTTCACTACTCATGCTCACTTTCACTTACTCAGCTTGAGCACCCATTTAACTTTGTATGTGAACTTGGTACTATCAGAGTTATCTTTGCCCAAAGCCTGATGTGTGTTAAAACTGAAAGCTTTGACTGGTGTTCTTTGTCTATAAGTTTGAACCTTTCTTGGGTTTGTCCTTTATTGTGAGTGTGGTTTTATTTCATCTTTGAAACATTTACTCAAATCATTTTTCTTTCTCATTTTCTTTTTTCTTTGTTCTTTTTCCTTTTTTTGAAACAGGGTTGTACTCTGGTGCCCTAGATGGCCTGGAACTCAGCAATCTGCCTGCCTCTGTCTTTCAGTTGCTGGGATTAAAGGCATATGCTACCATGCCCTGCCAGTTTGGGCTTTCTTCTATGTTTCTATGCCTATAAAACTTCTCCTCACAGATAGTCTTAAAGTTACAATTTCATTTGTGACTTTTTCTACTTAGGATTTTCTTATATATTGATACATTCCTAAAAGCATTTGTGTGTGTGTGTGTTGTCTATGTCTGAAATACTTGCATGCTCTGTGATCTTCATTTCAGTTTTCCTTCCTCCTGTGGGTCATTTCTTTGACTTCTCCTGGCGGGAATGTTCCATAATTTACTCTTAAGGCACATCCATAGTTCAAGCCCCTTGCTTTTCAGTCCATACAAGCTTTGCATGATTTCTTAAAGGAAATAACTAGAATTGGGATACTGAGCATATGCCAAGTTTTCTAAAATTCTTTTGCATTTCTTCCTCTTTTTTGGGCAATTTAAAGATTGCTGTCTTTCTTTTTATCAGTAAAAATCTGCAGCCACATGCCCTTGAATGTTTCTGATGCCTGAGATCTGCCTCTGAAAAATTTAGCAGAAATTTCTACTCCTTTATGTTCCCCTTTTAGAAAGTGTTAATATTAAGAATTGATACTTGATAAATAATCAAAGTTCATTCTGAGTATTATAACTATATATGAGTATTTAAGTATGTAGTAAATCTCTTTGTTGTTAATCTTTTTGTTTTGTTTTGTCTTTTAATATAGGGGCTGCGATTTATTCAGTTGAAAAACCCTTGGAGCCATTTACGCTGGAAAGGAAGGTACAGTGAAAATGATGTGAAGAACTGGACCCCTGAATTGCAAAAGTATTTAAACTTTGATCCCCGAACAGCTCAGAAAATAGATAATGGTAAATATTTCTGTAACTTTAGATTTTGGGAATGTGAGGGGTGCTTGATTACGTGTGTGTGTGTGTGTGTGTATGCGCGTGTGTGCACATTCATATGGAGGCCACAGTTCAGCACTAGGTATCTTCCTCTGTTGCTCTCCACTGAACTTAGTGATCTGATTGGCCAACCTGGCTAGCCAGCAAGACCCTAGGATCCTTCTTTCTTTGCCTCCCCAGCACACACTGGCATGCCCAGCGTTTAGATGGTGCTAGGAGATAGAGCTCCCGTTTGTGCAGTTAGGCACTTCCCTGGCTGAGCCATTTCCCTAGCCTATCTATCTGTTTTTATTTATGTGTCTTGCCTTCGTGTATATAAGTGTATCACATATGTATAGGTGTGCAGAGGGCTCCAGATCCCCGGAACTAGAGTTACTGATGGATGTGAGCCACAGTGTGGGTCTGGGAACCAAATCCAGGTCCTCCTCAAGAGCAAGTACTCACACCACTAAGCTATCTTGGTAGCTCCTTGAGCCTTTAATATCACCTGCTTTTTCAAGATGAGATGTACTTAACTGTCTTAAGAGCCTCTTATTTATTTATTTATTTATTTATTTATTTATTTATTTATTTATTTTCTGTATGTAAGTGTTTTGTCTGTAGTGTACGTACATCTGTGCGCTGTTTGTGTCCTTGGTGCCCTTGGAGGTGGATCCTTGAAACTGGTTAGCTGTCATGTGGGCTGGGGTAAGATCTGGGTCCTGTGCTGAGCAGCTGCTCTTAGTTACCAAGCTTTCTCTCCAGCTTACCTACATTATTTATCACTAAGATTTTTTTTTTTTAGATTAACAGAGACATTTAATTTTTAGGAATATTTTGGATCTCCTGGGATGATCTTTGCCAGTATTATGATGTAGTTTATTTGAGTTGGAATCCAGCTCTTTTTAAAGAATCAACTTGCATTCACAGGTAAGTTTTTATACATTTTAGAGTATGCTTCATAATCTCTATATTTGAAAGATTTTAAAATTTAAAAAAATTATGTGGGGAATGGGGATGGGGATGGGAATGGGGCTTTGCACATGAATGCATGTGTCTGGGAGACCAGAAGAGGGTGTTGGACTCTCTGGAGCTGGAGTTTACAGGCAGTTGTGAGCCACCCATTGTGGGTGCTGGGAACTGAATTCCGGTCATCTACAGAAGCCGTACATGCTTTCATAGCCATCTTTCTCGTGCCTGTTTTCCACATTAAAATTTCAAATAAGAAAGCCTGGCTCGGTGGCACATACACTTGTCATCCCAGCACTTGGGGAAGCAGAGGCAGGCAGAGCTCTGTGAGTTCAAGGCCAGTCTGGTGTACAAAGTGAGTCCAGGACAGTCAAGGCTACACAGAGAAACCTGTCTCAAAAAACAAAACAAAACAAAACAAAAAATCCAAATACTAATCAATTCAAGAGGACCATCAAGCACTCTTTTTGTCATTCCCAGTAGTCTTTTAAAAATACTTTATTACACCAAAAACTTTTTAAAGGATAAAACAAGACTCCTGTTAGCTGTGCTGTGCACACCTTTCATCCCAGCACTTGGAAGGCAGAGGCAGGCAGATCACTGGGTTCAAGGCTAGCCCGGTCTATGTAGTGAGTTCCATAGCCAGTGCTACAGAGAAAAACCCTGTCTCAAAAAAAGCAAAAACCACCAATAATAAATAAATAATCAATCCTGATAAATTTATTGCATTTGAAACACATTGCTTTCTAAAGTAGTGTTTAAAAGATTGATTGTCTGAGGGCTGGAGAGATGGCTCAGCAGTTAAAGAGTTCTTGTTACTCCTGCAGAGAACCCAGGTTCAATTCCCAGCACGCACATAGTGGCTCACAACCATCTGTAACTCCTCTTCTGAACTCCACAGGCATCAAGCACTCATGGTGCACCTACATACATGCAAGCCATACAGTCATGCAGATTAAACATGGAGGCCAAAAATTCATACACATAAGGTTTTTTAAAACATCAAAAATATTTCCTTTTTAAAAAGTTTAGTTGTATGAGAAATTTAACCATTGCTGTCTTTTTGTTGACTTTATCTTTTAGTACTTGGGATGCTAAACAAGGACCTGTGAAAGATGCTTATAGCCTGGCCAACAACCCCCAGTACAAGCTGGAGGTGCAGTGTCCACAAGGGGGTGCTGCAGTTTGGGTTTTGCTTAGTAGACACATAACAGACAAGGTACCGATACCCTTATAATGACAGATCCACCACACAGAAATTCTTTCAAATATAATTAACTGTTAGATCCATAATTTTATTACTAGCCAGTTCTATTTATATAGGTGCTTTGAAAATAATGTTCTCTCAAGTAAATGATTACCAGATAATTTTCCTTATTTTATCACTACTGAAGTGTTATTCATACTCCTCTAAAGGAGGAGCTTGCTTTTCAGTAAGAATATAAGGGTTGATACATACTTTACAACTTTTGAATATTAAGATTATAATATGCTGGAAGGGATTTGGAAAGCTTGGGTCATTAGTTTTGATTGTAGAAGGCTAATTATCTTATCATTCACATAGTAGTCATTTATTCAGAAAAGCATGGTTACTATAGAACTAAGTAGCTGAAGTGCTTTTGGAAATTAGTTCTCTAAGCATTTAGAGAATAGAGAGCCTATTGAGTCCATTTTCCTCACCAGTGTGGATTCTCTGTGACTTTAGGATGACTTTGCAAATAACCGTGAATTTATCACAATGGTTGTGTACAAGACTGATGGCAAGAAAGTTTATTACCCAGGTAAGTCTGCTGAGCAGATATTGAAGCATTCTTATTTAGATAATTGAGCTAAAAATTAGATAACTTAGATTATTAGAAAATTAGATAATTTCATGTAAATGGCATGTAGAAACCAATAATAATTATGCCGGTAGACTAATAAAAATCAGCAAAACAGATGGTGTGTTTATGTTTATTTATATATAATATTATATATACACTTGTTTTTTATTTAGAAACTCTTAGGATTTGGGTTTATATATTCTTGTACATTATCATCAGAACTTAATTTCTAAAATGTGCAAAAGTCTATAAACCACCAAAAAGGGAACAGAGGGAAAATGACATGGTCTGATCTTTTTTTTTTTAGAAAAGAGCATTGACTTTATTAGTTACAGCCCCAAATGTGGCAATTTTATTTGAAAAAATGATGGTGGTTTGAACTTCGGCAGTTTTAGAGTAGGACAAAGAGGACAGATTAGAATTTCAGTGGGATTATATAAAGACTTGCCCAGTTGGTATAGGAGGACCCTGAAGTCAAGGACGATTCCAGGTTTTTGGTATAAGTCAAAGTAAGGTATAGTAATTACTAAGATGGGTTAGCAGTGGTCACACGTTGTAAGATTTTGTTTAGAGTAAACTCAGAAGTGAATTCTTGGCCTGTTAAATTTGAGGTAATAAGAGTGGGCAGTTTATTTTTGAGCAGGGATATGAGGTGGGGTGGGGGCTTGAGGTACAGATGGCTGAGTCAGAGGCATATAGATAGCATTTGAAGCCTGGACTATAAGTCCTTTTTGAAGACAGCTGTAGATGACATTGAATGCCCAGGACCTGACCTTTAGGTTCTCAAACATCTTGAGGCTGGGCAAAGGGGTTGGCACTGTTACTGGAAAACGTGATCAGTATGCTTGAAGAAATGTTAACACAGTGAGGTTTGATATATCCTCAGCAAAGGGGGTATTTCAAGAGGAAAAGAAGACACTTCCATCTCCTACTGTCTGAGAGCTCAGAGAACATGCAGGTGGACCTAGCATCTGATAGTCATAGTTGACCTTGACCTTGACTAGAGAGGATTGGAATTGGTTGATGTCTTAATTTGTAGTCATAGAGGAAAACATACATTCTTCACTGGTACACTAGTCAGGGCAGGCACTAAACCTTACCAGTCAATCTCTCTCAGTTCTGCAATTGGCAAGACACAAGGTTCAGTGGTCAATACCAAGTCAAACTAGCTATTTGATCATTGAATATATAAAAAAAAAACACAAATATTTTCCTGGATGGAAATTGTATATGGCTTAATAATTTCAAGTACATTCATTACTTTTTTTTTTTTTTTAACTAAAGGGTGTTTTGTTTGTTTGCTTTCTTAATTAAACAGTGTTCCCTCTTATATGTAGTGAATTTTCATCACACTAGAACAGGCATTTTTGCTCTCCATTAATGAAAGACTAAACAGTTTTAAATTTAACCCATGGGCTGGAAAGATGGCTCAGTAGATAAAGGTGTTTACCGCCAGGTTTAACAACTGGAATTCAATTCCTCTGACCCATAGAAGGGAAAGTGGAAGGGGAGAAGTGACTCCCTTAGGGTATCCTCTGACCTCCATGTGTGTGTGCATGCACACACATCCCTATTAACAAAAACCCTTTGGAAAGTCTGAGAAAAATTCCCGCCTGAATCATTGATTACGAAGATCGGTGGTTAAGAGGGACTTTGGGGGCTGGAGAGATGACTCAGAGGTTAAGAGCACTGGCTGCCCTTCCAGAGGTCCCGAGTTCAATTCTCAGCAACCACATGGTGGTTCACAACCATCTATACGTGGATCTGATGCCGCCTTCTGCCATGTAGGTGTACATGCAGATAGAACACTCATCTACATAAAAAGAATAAATCTTAAAAAAATATTTAAAAAGAAGCAAGTTTAACATCCCCCAAGGTTTAGTTCTAAACTGGGGGGAGGGGTATATTAATAGATGCCTTTATATACTTTTCTGTGTCTTTAATAAAAAGTTACCTCAAAAGAAGCTAATTCTGACTTTGAAAATCTTTTCTGTTAAACTTCCTGTCTGTGCAGCTGACCCACCTCCATACATTGATGGGATTCGAATTAATAGCCCTCATTACTTAACTAAGATTAAGCTGACCACGCCTGGGACTCACACCTTTACCTTAGTGGTTTCTCAGTATGAAAAACAGAACACGATTCATTACACAGTCCGGGTAAGAAATTCACCAACTGTCAACCATGTAGTGACATAAGAGTTCATGATGTGTTCTGCTTTATGTGGACTGATTCTCCTTTGAGACAGGGTCTTGCTAGCCTAGTGTGTTTACCAATTAAATAATTATGCTTCCCATAAAAAATGTGAGTTGTATTTTGCCTTGAATAACATTTTGAATGAACACATTTTCATAGTAATGGTTTATTTCTGAGATAATATGGTAGATTAATAAATGCAATTAAACGACAACTTTCAACAGGGTGTGGTGGTGGTGGCGGCACACCTATAATCTCACAGGCAAGAGGATCTCAAGTTCAAAGCCATCTTGTTGTTTAGAGACCTTGTCTTAAGCCTCCCCAAAACAAAAACAATTTTAAACTGTTTTTACTTATACTGTTTTCACATTGCTGTTTTCTTGTACATAGATTTGTTTACATTGTATTTTTAATGTTAAAAGTTTAATGTTTAGTGTTCCTTCAATCTTCAGTCACAGAAACCAAATTGTCCTGAGTCATACACAGTGACAAAGTCAAGACAAGATCCCCTAGTTCCTGGTTTCTTAAAGTCTGGTTTGATCTCAACTAGTATTTTGGCTGTAGAATAGATCCAGTGTATTCCCATCTAGTGTATTCCTCTGTCACTCTGATAAGTTCCTTTGCTGTTTCTCAGAATAATCTTTTTTTTTTTAAATCTAGGTATATTCAGCATGCAGCTTTAATTTTTCAAAGATCCCTTCACCATACACCTTATCAAAACGGGTAAGAAAATCTGTTGGTTGTAATCTCACTGTTCTTTTTTGTCTGTTAGGAATAATAGTCCTTTCATGCTGTCATTATTAAGTAAACATTTTCTATGATTCTACAGAAATACAAGGGAAACAAGCTTGGCTTGTTTTGATTAGAATACAAGCTCATCAATGAGCAACACTATTTCTGCAGAAATAGAAAACATGTAATTCTAAAGAATTGGCCATATCCTTGTTTGTTAGAAGTCAGCTTAGATGAACTCAAAGAGAATTTGGAAATAGCTTGCAGTATGGATAAAGTAAATGTGCAGACGGGCTAGTGATAATTCCTTATAGGGAGAACAGTTTAATAATTGAGTGAGAGGTGGAGTATAGTAAAGCAGCCTGGCTGAGTGAAGACTTTGACTGTCAATGACAAAGACTAGAAAACAGAGTAAAGCCAGGGTAGAATCAGAATGTGAAATTTTAATATAGAAACTTTCTTTATAGATTAATGGAAAGTGGAGTGGTCAGAGTGCCGGAGGATGTGGAAATTTTCAGGAGACTCACAAAAATAACCCCATCTACCAATTCCATATAGATAAGACTGGACCATTGCTGATTGAACTGAGAGGACCAAGGTTTGTGATGAATAGCTTCCTGAGTGTGTGTGTGTGTGTGTGTGTGTGTGTGTGTGTGTGTGCGCGCGCGTGCGCGCGCTGGAGATAGGACCTAGTGCCTTGTGTAGCTAGGCAACCACTCACATTACTTTAAAATTAAGGAACAAAGTTTGGAAACATCTATGCAAACCATAGGCAAAGGACTAGAGGAGAGGTCAGCCTTCTGTAAGTGGTATGGGATTCAGTGTTTGTTTAAAATAGTAATTTGATCTATCTCACAGAAGGGCTAAAAATCAGTTCTAGATTACAGATTAAATATTAAACGTAAATAATTTCTAAATTTCTAGAATATAATGCAGATGTTTATCTGGTATGAAACTATTTTTTTCTTCTTCTGTGCATCAGTGAGTCTTAGAAAGCCATATAGATCTTATACTACCTATTCTATGAATTTAGATTTTATTCCAGGGCTTTCTTCTATTCTGTAGAGTTTTCTGTCAATTACAGTGACAGTGTTTCATTTAGAAATTTATACTATAGATACTATAGATTCCCTGGGGAGCCTGTAGTAGTGATGGCATAATGCCTTTAATTTCAGCAGTCAGGTGGTACTGAGAGGCAGACAGATCTCTGTCAGTTTGAGGCCAGCTTGGTCTACAGAGTGAGGTCCGGGACAGCCAGAGCTACACAGTGAGACCTGTCTCAAAAAGCAAAACAAAACAAAAAAGTATGTTTTAAGGTAAGCTTAATGCATTATTAATTATAAGTAAAAATAGAATAGCTTCAGAGTTCATTTCCTCTTGGTAAAAGCTGAAGTGCGTGCACACATGTACACACATGCTGTAGCAGTTCACCTGCGCTGGACAGCATGTATTTGCTTACTAACATAGCAATGCTGTTTGATTTGAACGCCAGGCAATACAGCGTTGGATTTGAGGTTGTGGCAGTTTCTGTAACGGGAGATCCTGGTCCTCATGGCTTTCAGAGGAAATCTAGTGGCGACTATAGGTAACACTGCCATTTTGTTTCTGTTCAATGTATACTTTAAGTGACATGATCATCTATAAACCTTATTCTCATTTTTCTCTGAATATAGGTGTGGATTTTGCTACTTAGAATTGGAAAACATACCTCCTGGAATTTTCAATATCATCCCCAGTACTTTTTTGCCTAAACAAGAAGGACCTTTTTTCTTGGACTTCAATAGTACTATCCCCATTAAGACAACACAACTCCAATGATAGAGAACTCTCAGCTGTTACTAGATTCCATACTTACCAGTCATCAACTCTTCAGATAAGAGAGAAATCATGACAGTGAACCATCAGAATGGCATTAAATCAAAAAACATGTTACAGTGGAATCTGGTGCTTGTTATGGTGTTTGGTAAGAGTTGTACATAGGCAGAATTACCTACATCACCTAGAAGTACTGTTGACATGGTTTTGTGCATACAGAGTTGGCATGTACTTAGGGGCTGACTTTGTATAAATTACAGATTAGATTCAGCCATCACTGTGAGATGCTTTTGCTAACAGGACAGGGGAACTGGAACAAGATGAAGACAATGAGGGCCACAGACTCCCTGAGTGCAAGACAGGCTATTTTAGTATCTTCCATATTTACATTATGTTTCCCGCTTTTACAGAGCACGTAAGTTTAACCTGTTTATGTTGAAACCCACCATACATCCTAGGCAACTAATTACCAAATGAATCATGTCACTGAAACTAATTTGAATTTTTCATTGTCTTTAAATGTTTGTTGTTGCCTAGATGTTTTTGAAAGAATAAAGCTTTAAAAAGTACTATTTAGCTTAGCATGAAAATGCTCAGGCTTAAGAATGAAGGTTATCATGTTAGATCCATCATCCATTGTAGACAGAACTGAGGTCTATTTACTGTTGCTGTTCTTAATTCTTAGCAGGTTGGTGAATGTAGTAATCGGAGACTTGAAATGTTAAAGTTTAGTGTGTAGAGTTTTTTAATTGCTCTATAGTCAGTGCTTTTATAAACAGGGATTTGGAAAGTCCTTGGGAATATAGTATATGGTGACAGAGGTATACAGCATTCATAAAAAGTGAGTTGCCAGGAATTAGTGTTGTGTAAATTCCCATTTGTTTACATAAAAATCATCAGTACAGAATGATGCTCAAGATTTTAAAGTTCTGGGAAATGGGATTTGTCATTGTCTCTACTTTATAATTATCAAAACTTTCTACTGCTTTAATTGAAATAAAATATTTATACTTATGGTTTATATTTATTTATATATATATACTTATGTATATTACATATTTATATTTATACTTACAGTTTAACCTCTAGAACTTGATTTATTTAATCTAGTATATTCCCTATAAAAGAAGACAGATGTTCATGAAAATACATGCTTCAAGAATATCTTTTAGTTGGTTTTTATCAATGAGATTTCACTTTTAAACTCTTAGAACTTTTTGTTTTAGCAATGTAAATTTGAATTTTGAAATATAATTCTGCACTAAGAGGCAGGGCAGTAGCACAGCATGCCAGGGCCCTGGGTTCAATCCTCAGTAGAGAAGACCTATGTGTAAATAGTGTTGACTCCTGTCATCAAGGTCCATAGAGATTCTACAAGTGTTTATGTAAAGCTGGACCAGTACACACACACAGTTCAACAACTATCATTTGAAATACCATGAATAGAGAGTAGAAAAGTAGGCAGGAGTTATTTTTTACAATGAACTTACTCATCATGCATATTATTTTTATTCTTCCCAGTGGCTAAATCAAACACAGGCATTATTGCTGCTTTTTACAACAGGGGAAATAAACCTGCATGCTCTTGTCTCATGTTCACAAGCCCTCATCCCTCATCCCAGGCTCCTGATTCAGTGACCCCACTGCTGTCTATGTGGGGACAGCAGGCTGGAATTGACTGTTGTAGGAAGGTGACTTGTTGAATCAGAAGCACCATATGGGAACAGATTTTAAAAATGGAAAAAAAGAGAATGGCTCAGGATCTAATTTCAGTATACACATAGATGCGGACTTAAGAAACTTTCCCCACCTTGTCACAGTAAAGGAAATTATTCAGAAAAGGTTATATTCTAGAATTAGTACATGGTCAGCTGTTGTGATCACCTCAAAAAAAAAAAAAAAAAAAAGTCACATATGAACTAGAGGACCAAAAACCTGAAACTGAGGGAAGTAGCTAAATTTTAGAAGTAGTAACTTTAGAGAGAGGAAACCTGGAGGACAGGGCAGGAGAGTGAGTTAATATTAAGAGAACAGTGAGTCTCCAACATTGCAGAGAAAGTGATGAAACAGGAGCCAGGGTCAAAGGTGATGCTTTCCCTTCCTGTTGTAAGAGAACAAGAAGGTGGCAGGCTGATGGGGAAGAGGAACTGAGGCAGGAAGGCAGATTATGAAGCCGCAGTGCTCAAGCCCATCTTAGAGATTATACTGTGACTCCCACATAAAAGGCAAGTTTATGGAACAGTGTTCAGGGTGACAGATACTTGAGCCAAAATCCACAGCACATGGTTGTAGCATATACATTAAAATCCAATACTCTCAGATTTCCATTAGAAAAAACACTTTAGGACCACCTGAGACCCTTTTTAAAAGTGCCCAACTGAACGTAAGATGAGACCATATAGCAAAATGGTCCCCCTGCCCCAAGACTATACTGACTGGTGAAGCTGAAAACCTCTTATTAGGGCTATGTCACCTGGAGCTGGCTGTGTCAGTGCTTACCTTTTTAACAGCAAAAGTAGAACTCTAATCCAGACTTTTGTATTTGATGTCAAATTTCCAGGAGTCCTCACCTTACCTGAAAATGTGGTCAGCAGATGACCACAGCATTCCATGGTCTTAACAAGGAAGGGGACTTCCCAGGGTAGAAGACAGACAACAGTGGGCTTTCTCATCTGAAGTCACAAAGTTTTCTTAGTTTATTACATTCAAGGTATTAAAACAAGTACAAAATAACCTTGTAATTAGGATACTGTATCCATCAATAAAAAAGGAGAAAACACTATTGTATGAAGAGCTATACATGTGGCTAAAATATACAAGCGGTGACAGAATTATTAGACAATTTGAAGTGGGGGTGCTTTTTTTCAGAAATGGCAAATTAATAAAACAGGACATAAAATACAGCGCTGTATACATAACCATAAACACTAAGCGGTCTGAACACTACTATTAGCATAACAGCCCATTGCTTCTATTTACCAATCGTGTCCTCTCCCTTTCCTATCTTTGAGGACAACTTCCTCTAAGGGATACTAGGTGCAGCATAAACCTTAAATAATCTCGTTTATTGTAGAAGTTACAGTCTACAGAGAAATAAACTCCTTGTCAATCCAGATAGAAAATGGCAACCATTCTTCACATGCACTTCTCTTAGAATAACCCTTCCCCCCTTGGCTGGTAGGCTAAGGTTAGGCTACAAAACCTCCCACAGCCACAAATCCCCTCTATGCTATGTCCCTGCTACCTCATTCCCCATCCCCACATTGGCATTCACCTTTCCCACCCCAAAAAGTGCAGTTCATGGTAGCTTTCCTAGGAAATGGTTTTAATGGGTTTCCCAGAAGACATGCTTTTTAATTCCCCCTGAGCACCAGAGGTGATGAAAATGAATTATGCTCCTGGCATTGTTTTTAGGCTTTTACCAGGTCAAAACAATGTGTTCTGAACACTTGAGTTTTTGTGTGAGTTTTTAAATTATTTTGGTGCCCTGTGATATAATGGAGAGACATCTCATTTTCCCCAAGTAGAAAAGGGAAAAGGGGACAGAGATGTAGGCTGGTGACCCCCTGGCTAAGTGTTCAGCTCTCCGCCTGGCTCAGGTTCATTCACAGAAACTAGTTATTGCTTCCATGCTGCCGCTACAGGGAATGCTCTGCAAAGGCTTGTGACCCTGGTCACAGCTTACCTGCAATGGCTCTGCTCTGAAAAACACACTAGCCCAAGAGCTCCTACCAGAGGGAAAGTCTTCAGCCCTCAAGTCACTGAAACTCGGTTAGTTCAGTTTAGAGTAAATGCATACTATTTGGCTTATGTTAAATGATTACTGGCACGATGTTCTTGAGTTTCATGTGTAAATGATTTGCACATGGGACATAGCCCTGGTGGATCAGCCAATCTGCACCATTTTTATGTCAGCAATAATCCCATCTCTTCCTTTTGCACACTGTAGGGAGAGTTGCTTCATACGGGTTTCCAAGGCCTGGCCCTCGAAGGATGTGCTGTTTTGGCTCCTGCTCCTGCCACCACCACTGTTGCTGAGAACACGATTGTTGTTGGCTTTGTCACTTGTTTTATTCTCCGCCCCTTCTGCTCTGTCTCCTGTAGAGATACAAAGGTTGCCAAATGGGGACTGGCAGTTTCAAGAGTTCCATAGGCACCAGCTTCAGCCACCGAGCCCTCCGCAGTTCCCCGCCACCCACTATCCATCTGAGGGCTCTCCAGCACTGACTGACACAATGCATTTACCCCTCAGTGTGTCTTTAGAGGTGAGATACACCATTCTCATTTTGAAGCTAGGAAGCAAACCTCTCCAGCAGGAACTTGCCAAGAGGACTGTTCTTAGGCGAGACATGGGACCTAAGTTCTGCTTGACTGAAGCTGGCCAGGCAGAGTGCCAGGGACCCCAGGAGAACCCCTGAAAGCATTCTGAGTGATCTATCCCTCATTATGTTCTCAGAGATGCAGTAATGTACCCCTGGAACCCCGAGACCTAGCAAATGGAGACCTGGCAAGGGTAGGGACAGTTGGGCTGCAGCCTACCTCGTTCCACCTCACATTCAGGGGAGGAGGCCCCGCTACATTCACTTCGAGGACCCAGTATTGGGAACATAATCCCAAATTCTGACAGGGACACAGGACTGGGCAGATCCAGGCTGCCGGGTCTTGCCACTGCAGGGAACTGGTCAGGCATTTCCGATGGACTTGTTGGTCCTGAACTAAAGCTGGACACAGACTGGGTTTCCGAGTCATCTTCGGACACTACGTTGCTGCAGTTGTCGTCTTCAAAGGCTTCTGAAGCCACTGTGATGAGAGAATACCAGTCACATGGGATCTGCTAGATAGTAGCCCAGTTCCTTAAGCACTTGCAAACACACTCTGCTGGCAGGCAGTCACACAGCATGGAGCCTGCAGGACTCCAACCTTCCTGAGCACTTCAGAAGGAAGCAACTTGTCTAGCATATACAAAGGCCTGGGTTCCATCCCCAGCACTGAAGGGAAATGAAAGAAAAGGGAAGATCAATTCAGACACTAGCCCTTTGTAATATGTCCAATGCAGAGGCAGTCTCACAGTGAAGACTGAAGGTGTTCCTTCTGGAATAAGCAGCACGAGCTGCTCTAAGGGCAGCCCTACGTGAGTGTCTGTAGTAACGTATGATCTCATCAGAACCCTCAAAGCCTGCCTAGATCACTGTTTGCAACAAAGGACAATGTTCCTTTATAGTGCTCTAGCTGTGCCTGAGTTTGTGGACAGAATAACCAAGGCTCAGAGACTCCCTATTCTTCGTTCCAAAAACCTCTTCAGCTTGCACTGTCCCTATTAATATCCTTCTAGTTCCCTTTATGCCTATGGGCATCTTTAAAAATGGCCTAGTGTTCCAGAGAGAATTGTTACAAGTACTATAGCACTTGAGACAGAAAATGGGCCTAGACCTGAACTCCCCTGTTGACTGTGTGGCCTTGTCAAGTTACTTGACTGCTCAGCTAAGGAAGGAACTTAGGAGAGCCACAAGGGATTATTCCACAGGAAAGGAAAAGCTAGAAGGTGTCATTCAGCGTCACAGGATAGTTTTCTTGATTAGCAGAAGCCGGTCAATCTATCCTTTCTGTGTGGGATATCCATGGACAGAAGAGACCCCAAGGACAGCTGCCAGGTGTCATGCCTCACCACAGCAGAGTAGACACCGTCCCCATTACACAGCTGAAGCAGTGAATACATCAAGGCCCCTCTAGCCCATACCAGTGGTGAGATGGGATCTGAATCATCTTGGGTCCCAAGTCCCTATGAAAGCTTTCCTCAGAACTTCAAGCCTTGAGTGTTCTGATGTGTACTTAGACAACATTTCCCACATTTAATTGACACCGAATGCTAAGGTTCAGTAGCAATCCAGTGAACACAATGTCCAACAAAACCTGAGAAACCAGTCTTCAGGCTGCCCAACTCCCAAATTCAACAGTGATGGGCAAAGGAGAGGGGCTATAATCCCCGCTGGCCAGACTCACCAGAAATGGCATCAGGCTCAGGTTTGCTCCCGGGCAGGTTCTCCACTGAGGTGATGCTGCCCTCAGCCCCCACGCCACAGCCCCGAGGCCCCATGGCATTGGAACGCCGCCGCTCATGTATCTCATCTGAGATCCTCTCCAGGCTCTTCAGGGCTGCCTTATACTCGCCTTTTGCCAGGGCCAGCTTGGCCTGGAGGTCATCCACGGTCTTCTTCAGTTGCTGAGTTGGAAGATGGAGGGCTTGGTAAGCCAACGTGGCTTTCAATGGGACATCCCCATTGAAAGGGGGGCCACACAAGACCACAACACAATTCTCTAAGACACCCGGGACAGTGGACCAAAGGAGGGTCCAATTTCTTTTCATGACTACGCAGTCACTGAGAAGAAGCTCACTACCGTTTCAACACCACTCCACGTGACACATGAGACTCCGCAGAAATGATTACTAATAAAATGCAGCCCTCAGGGAGGGACAGGAGACACACAGGTCCTGTAGCCTCCACACGGCCACTGACAGAAGTTCTTGGCCCGTAGCTGAATCACCTGTAGGGCCCCTTATAATGCAGACTGCTGACCCAAACCCCCAAAGGCTCTGACAGCAGGGTGAGGAACCTGGGAACTCTACTACCAAAACGTTCCTAGGGCTGCTTGTCTTGGGAGCTCGCAATGAAACCTAAGAAAAGTGCAATACAACGAGCAAGTGAGTGAGCGAGTAGCTCCAGACAACATGCAATACCCAAGACCATTTTGAGAACTAAAGTCTAGGAATATGTTCCTCCATTCTCCCTTCACAGCACAGGGGCCATCTGAAGGCCTCCTACCACACTAAAGCTGAGGTTTAAATGTGGGGAGGTGTGGAGAACAAGAACATTAGTGAAAATCCAAGGTCACACATACCTCCAGTTGCACGTAGTACTTTGCCTTGAGCTCAAAATAAGGCCTGCAGGAGAGAGGAAAAAAACTGTAAGAGTATGATCTCATGGTGAACCCCTCCAGACACATCCATTACAGCTAGTCAGGCCATTCAGGATTTAGGCCACGGCAGTGACAAAAGGCAGAAGAGCCATGGGCTCACCCAAGGCCTCAGTGACCGGAGGCCCATCTCAATATTTGGAAGCCTTGTATCCTGGTTCATTTTGCTCTGTAGGGCAGCTGCTCCAGCCTACAGACCAAGTGTAAGAAGATGGGGCTGAGGGACAGACAGGCTGCTTAAAATACTCCCTCCCCTGAGACCAACTATGGATGAAGCAACACCGCTACCTGTCACCTGGGTTTAGGACTACCGTACTTCAACCTCATCAGTCCTCTTGTACAGTGACCAAGGCTGGAGGTGTTAGTAGACTAATCGGGTTACAGGCAAGGAAAAGACAAGCTCCCTGGACTCAGTCAGACAGAAGAGCTGGCACTTTGTAGCAGCGTTGGTGTCTGAGCTGTTCCTCATCTCTAAATCCTGCATCTGTAATTGCTGACGACACATTGCAGGACCACTTCGGTGTATACGGAAAATCTGAAAATTGGGAATAAACTCCTTTTAGCGGCCAAATGAAGTAAATATCAGGCCAGCCAAGGTGTGGTAGGTATATGAGATGTCCAGGTGAAAGGAGTATGAACACGGATGCTAAAGGTGGAGAACAGGGAGGGGAGTGTGACCAAAGCAACAGGGGAAGGCAAAGCCCACCAGAGCCCTGAAGCCATTCCATGGAGGGTACAGACTGGTGTTTGGTCTCACAGGCATACAGGAGTCACCCAAAAGACTCTGGAAAGGTTGGCAGAGTGTGGACAGAAGTCTGTTTCCCTAACCATGTTAGTAACGAGTGCACTCGTTAAGTCTGAGAGCAGTGTACAGAGGGCACCAGGGACTCTAAGACACCACACATTCACAGCAAACCGAGTAAGCAGCATGGAAGGCTGCTTCCTCAGCCTTGAGGAAGGGGTGGGGCTTCCAGAAACCCTCACCACCTCCCCGTATGTCTCCAGAAGATCATATACATCTACTGAGGAGCAGTGGCAAACACTTAACTAACATTTTCTACAGAGACACGTGCACATGTCTGCTGGAGGAGCAGGCATTAGAGGGCAAGATGCAGGGTGGCATGGAGCAGAGGACCAATGCCTGCCTTTAAGTCTTCCCTTTCTTACCTGGCATGTTCCCTTCACCTGAACACAGGACTTCTGTTAAGCTTCCAGCTGCCCACTCCAGGAGCAACAGACATATACTTCCTGTCCCAGTTCTGACTCAACGTTGGGTCCAGCCAGCACGAGCCCTGTTCCTTTCTCTTGGAAGCCCAGCAAATAAAGAAGGGACCTGTCTCCCAGTCATCTGTTCCCCCTATGGTTGCTATGTCAGATGTAGAGGGCTGTTACGGAAAGAGCTTGGGGAAAGCTCCACTTAACCAATCTTGCAGCATTTCATCGGCTCCTGTTACACAGAGACCATGAAGGATGGGCAGAGCTCATCCCTACCATACTGGTAGGTAAACTGAGGGACGGGGCCTTGTCCAGCCAAGGGCCGAGTCCCCCCAAAGTACAGCCTGTGAGCCAGACAATGGTTTGCTCTGGAAATCCCTTCTTCTGTGTCCCCCATGAAAGTCATATTTGGAGCGATTCCTAACTCCCACCAGCACCCCCACCTGTGGCAGCGGCAACACAGGGTGGGATGAGGTTGTTACACACTATCACCGGGGAACAGGACACTGTTGGGAGCTCTGCCGCCCTCGGTGAAAGTACATGAAAGGCAGAGCAGATGCAGAAGAGAGCCGCTCCCACCCAGGGAAGGATGTGCTCAGACTTACTTAGACTTGTTGATGGCTCGCTTAAGTTTCTTCTCTAGCTGCCGCATGCGGCCCATGGCGGCATTGTACCTGGCCGCTGTCTCCTTGTGGACTAGCTCACTCCTCGTCTTGGTCTGCTCGGCTTCCATGACCTTTCAAACAACAGCAGAGGCCAGCCTAGTTAAACCCAGAACAGCTCCTGGCTTATGCTGCTCATGCTCATGTCATTAAAAGAAAAAAAAAAGTTCCTTGAGTTAGTCAACAGGAAGATTAAATTTTAATAGGGTAAGATCTGCTTTCTTCCTGATCTATTTTGAAAAAGCCTTTCTGATAACATACCCAAGTTAGCTAGACAGTGACTGGGAAAGAAAATCGAAAAATAAAAAACTTGAGAAATTTTTGAAACACTCAGATTAAACCAAAATTCAGTTCAACCACAGGCCTGCAGTGCCTAGGAGAACACTGGGGCCTGCCTGATGGAAAGGCAAATAGCCGAACAGCACCAGTGGGGCCTTCAGACCTACCTAACTTGAACATCAAAACTAAAAAGCAGCTGGGCATGGTGGCACACACCTGTAATCCCAGCACTTGGGGAGGCAGAGGCAGGTGACTCTTCGTGAATTTGAGGCCAGCCTGGTCTACAAAAGCGAGTTCAAAACAGCCAAGGCTACATGGAAAAACCCCGTCTTGAAAAAAACAAAAACAAAACAAAAAACCTAAAAAGCACCAAAAGTAGATCCACATGAGAGCCAGTGGGGCAGCCTTTCCCCAAAGGTCCTGAAGTTGCCTAGGCACAGAATGCAAAAGGACCAGACTTCACATTTAATCACTTAAACTTACAATTAAAACAGAGTCATTCATATTAGAGTTTGAGGTTTGCAAAAACCCACCATCAAGAAAAAGAGTTCTGGCAGAGCACAGTGCTGCCCTGTTGACAGACAACAGCAAGAGTTCTTCTGAGCGCCCCAACCCAAGGGCAGACATGGTCTTCCCTGTCTTCTTGAAGCACCAGATCAAGACCTGATCTGAGGGAACCCACATGAACAGCCACTTTTCCTGTCTTCTACGGACAGCCATGCTGCATTACAGAGCTAGAGAAATGGCAACAAGGTTAGGCAAGGTCACGGGGACAGTCTCTGTTAACTGGAGGAGCAGAGAGGGGACCTAGGGGACCACGGTCCTTGGCTACTCTGTTAGACCAGCAGGCCAACTTCAGAAAACCTGAGGGTAAAGAGGCACACAGAAAGGTTACTGGCATTCTCTGACCTCTAGTCCACCCTGGTTCAGTAGAGACCCCTGGACTGAAGGATCAAGGAAAGACGCTGAGGAATGGCGGCTAAGCGCCATGGAGAACCATCGCTGAAGGTGCAGCTTCAGCTGCGGTAGGGATGCTAGGATGGTGGAGCATCCTAGCGAGGGAGTGTCAGGCATAGAGTGGAGGTAGCCTGAGTCTGTGAGAGAAGCTGTGCACAAGCTGTGGATGGCAGAGCTGGAGAGAGGGGCTGCCTAAGAGCGCTTTGGATCCAGATTATGAGCGAGTCCCAGATGCTAGACACTGAGCTACAGAATTTGATTTATAGTCCCAGATGTTGGGTTTTGCTTTGACCTGATTATTTATGGCAACTCAAGCAGCAGAGAAGGCTTTCCCTGGACTCCCTTGTAAACTTTGTAAACCCTCAAGGCATGCAAATGGCCAGGCCCTCTTCCAGTCACCCCATCCCTGCCTGAGGAGCTCCAGCAGCCATGCCCCAACCCCAAGACTTCCCTAAATCCAATGTAATGGCTGTTTCGGCCCCTCATGGTGGGAGAGTGGCCAGGCCCTGCCATTCAGGAAAAAAAAAGATCCCACCAATCCCTAAGCTTGCCCCAAGCCACATATCTCTCCACATATCAGGCCACATAATCTCTCCAATCTCAGGCTACCCTGGAAAGCTCTGTGCCCCCCCCCCCCCAAAAAAAAAAACACCCAAAGAAACCTTCTATCAGCCCTGCGTTCTGCCCGGTTCTTTGCTGCTTCTCTCCAGAGCAGAGGCAGCCACCCTCCTGGGGTTTTCCCTGCCAATAAATCTCTTGAGTGAGGTTTGTTTTGTGGTATTCCTTGGCTCCCCACTGCCAGGGTACCTTTCCCAGCAGAGCTCAACACTTTCTCCTGAGCAGTTTCTGCCGAGGAAATCTCCCCGCCAGAACAGAGCCAGAACACTTTCTCTGCGGAGACCACACGCTTGTGTGGGAGCAGCTTCCAGGGCGAGAGATGCAACACTTACACTGGGTGGCTCTCACTCTTTTGCCTATCTTGGGACCTTGTATGTCCTACCGGGTTGCCTGGTCCAGCCTTGATATGATGGGTTGTGCCTAGTCTTATGGCATCTTGTCAGGCCATACCTGGTTGATATCACTGGAAGGCCAGCTCTTTTCTGAAGGGACATGGAGGAGCAGTGGATCTGAGAGAGAGGGGAGGTGAGGGGATTACTAGGAGAAGAGGAGGGAAGGGAGGCCATGGTCCAGATAGAAGAATAAACGTGGAATAATTTTTAAGGAAAAAAAAAAAAAGGAGAAAAGAGAGTCAAGCTAGAGTGAGGCAACATGCTGGCTAAAACGAGTCCTTGGGAGAAGAATCCTTTCCTTTTTAATCCTAACACACACTTTCACAATGAACCAAAATACGCTAAAAGTATCTCATGCTTGACACTTGGGGAAACAGCAGTAACTTTTCAGTCTAGTCTTGAATCTTAAGCCTTTAATCAGGATATAACCTTTATGAAAATTGAAAACTCCCCTCTTTCCAGACAACCTATCAGAGGTGCCTCGTTCTGTTACTGGAATATCCGTACAGAACCAAATTTGCACTCAAAGAGACCCAACTGAAAAGCTGCAGTTTAAAGCTACTGAACAAAAAGTGTCTCCTGGGAGAAGCAGGGCTCTCCCTAGCTGTACACAGGCCCCCATTCTACCTCAGCTCCCAGGCTACAGACAAACAACGGCTTTCTAACCATCAGCACCCAGAAAGCCCCAAGCACTCGGCTATACTGCCAGCAACACCCTCAAAGGAGACACGCATCAGTAATTATGCCACACCCTACCAGGACACATCACTACACTTCCGTCTGAATCTCTCCGCCTACGTAATCTCCAGCTCGGGAAAGACACCCCACCACCACACACCAAGCTTCCGGCCCTCTGGCCGCCAAGCATGTCAGCACGGTACACTGCCTAGACAACCAAGGAGCTCCTCCATCCATAGTCAGCCATAAGCTGTGTGCAGGGACTGGGAAGGAGTGCCAGGCATGAGGGGGAGGCAAAGTTGGGGTGCAGGGACAGAAGCTCCACGAGGGACGGCAGAACGGCATGGGGCAGGAGAGATGGAGTCACAGAGGAGAGCCTTCCCTGGGCCAGCCCTGGCACCTGGAAGCTCCTGTTGGGCAGGTATTTAGTCCAGACTCTCTAAAAGGTGCTCTCCTGTTTCATGGCCACCTACACCTACATGGCTGGTGATGGCAAGGAGCAAGAGGCCGAACCTGAAGCTGACAGCCCAGCAGGGTAGGAATGTTCCCGAGATAATATGTATCTTTCAAGGCCGTGTGGAACCCAGGCAGCTGGGTAGCTCTGGTCACTCGGAGGAGTTGTGACAGCAGCATCTGGAGAGGGGTCTTGGGTGTGTGGTATGTGGGGCAGTAGGTGGGAAGCAGCATGTCTCTGTTTTTGTCCATCGAGACAGTAGTACGCCCCACGTAGCCCCATAGCATCTGATACACAGTACACGGGCCCCCACGGACCTCCAAAGCCAGCGTGGAGGAAACACTCCATGCAGGCCTTCCTCTGCATCCTACCCCAGATCCCTGAGCTCCATTTGCTTCTGCATGAGCACCCAGGACAAAGATGGGCCGTGGTGCTCAGCTTCCCACATCCTTCTCTGAGCTGGAAGAAACCAGGTGGACTTCAGCCAAGGAAACAACTATCTACGATGAAAGAGGTCTCCGTTCGGGTGGTTCATAGAATATTCCCAACATGGGCCTTGTCCTGGGGCCTACCACAGCCTCTTGATAACCGGAAACATCAATCCAGGCGCAAAAGGTCCTTCCTCAGCTTCATGCTGTTACCCCTGCACCAAGGAGGGGGCATATGGGGGCTCTTGTCCCCCATCAGGCACTTTTCCAGAAAGCAAGTCTTCTTCCACCCCAGCCTGCATGGACATCCTGGGAGCATGGAGGAGAGGCTGGTCATGTCTTGTCCATCATTCCTCTCCAGGAGCCCCTGCTGCCAGCTCCTCAACAAGGACTGCCTTTCTATGTCCATGCCATAGCTCCCTCTTCCACCATCTGGTCCCCTGCAGCAGACATCCAAGGGCAATTCCTCCCTCCCAGCACTCCGGTCTCGGAGAATGGAAAGCCACTGCCTTTCTCAAAAGGCTGCTTCAGTATCGGAGCAGCCAAGGGGTGCAGATGCCCCTGCCGCCAAACCTCCCTCTGGTGTTGAGGAACGGCACGGCACACACTGAGCCCTCGCCCCCAGGGAGGCTGCTCAGCTGCAGGCTTGGCAGGGTTATTGGAACCGCTGGCTGCTTCCCAGCACTGAGCCGAGTACTGTCCCCATGGCCTATCTGTGTGTTATGTGTGGCCACCAGAGACTGCTGGGGCTCCTGAATCTAGTGTCAGCCTCTGCTACAGCTTCAAGTATGATCATCTAATGTAGCTATTAGACTTCGTGCATGCGTGCGTGCGTGTGTGTGTGTGTGTGTGTGTGTGTGCACGCGCGCGTGCAGGTGCTAAGAGGAAATGGCCTCAGGTGAGAAACTCTCGGAGACATGGGAGGCGAGCGTTATGAGGCTCTATCCCCCTAATGAAGCAGGTTTCCTGGCATTTCCAGAAGTCAGGCCAGTCCCTGCACGGTCTTCTGCCAAGGCAGCCAGCACATTAGCCCCACAAGGCCTGGAAAATGGTCCCCATGAGTCCCATTGGGAGAAACGCTCAATTCGGTCAGAGGGTCACAGTCGCTCATGCTATTTCAGAGCCAAATATGAGCAGCTGGACTGCAGGGAGCACTGGGTCTGCATTTCTCAAAGAGCATGTCCTGCAGGCTGAGGTGATGAATAGTGTACAGGAACATAAGGGAAAGGTCATGGTCTTTTGGGAGGTGTGTGTGTGTGTGTGTGTGTGTGTGTGTGTGTCTGTGTCTGTGTGTCTGTGTGTGTGAGAGAGAGAGTTTTTGTTTGGTTTTTGAGACAGGGTTTCTCTGTGTATAGCTTTGGCTGTCCTGGACTTGCTTTGTAGACCAGGCTGGCCTTGAACTCAGAGATCTGCTTCCTTCTGCCTCCCTGAGTGAAGGCTGGGCGTGAGCCAAGGTGCCCAGCCTCCTTGGGAATATTTTTATGTGGGTGTTTTGTTGTTGTTGTTTTAATCCCATTGCCAGGGATGGATTTAGCTCCTCCTAGGCTAAGTGCAAGCACTTGTTCTATTACCAAGCTGCCTCCTCAGAGGGGAGGATGGTGTGTCGTCAGTTCAAGGAAAAGCATATCCTGGTCTATGCAACCATGATGGAGCAAAGGAAAGGAAACAGCATCCATGATGCAGAGGTCCTGGCCTAAGACACAGAGCTCCCTGCTGATTCGCTCAGGCTGCTGCCATCACAACCACATAAGCCAGATGCCTGGGTCCTTCACTTTGGAGGTCAGAGGGTGCACATCAGACAGGCCACAGAGAAGCCCCACTGCTCCGAGGAGGTCTGAGCTACCCTGTAAAGCTCCATAGTCTGTTTGCTGCACAACCCCTGAATGTTGTTTCCAAAGACTAAGCATGCGGAGCCCAAGGACAGTGTGAGGGTCTCAGGGTGCCTCTCTGTGGGCAGCTACCCACTATCGTTACCCCATGACTAAAATGCAGATTCTCTTAATTTCATAAGATCAGATCTGGTAGTTTCTTTCTCCTTTTTAAAAATATAGGGCCTCCCTGTGTAGCCCAGGTTAGCCTTGATTCTTCTGTTTCAGCCTCCTGACTGGCATATTTAATAGGCATTCACCACCATAAACAGGCACATTTGGCGATTTCTGAAATGGCCTCTGACATGCTGCTATGTAGATCTGCAGCCTTGGAGGGCAAGAGGTTCAAAGGGAAAGGCAGGCCTGTGGCTTGTTTGTTTAGGTGGTTAGTCCCTGTCAACTACCGGGCTTTGCTCTGTAAGATTTCCAACCTCCCCTTTGGTCTGTCTACAGCTGACCCAGGAAGACTTCTCACAGCCTTGCCGGGTCGACATGCCTCATGCCCACCAGGGGGCAGGAGGCTCCAGGCCACCAGGCCGAGCCACAGGGAGAGTTGGTATAAAGTCAAGACTCCTCAAGTCCTTTGCACGGCAGGCCTTTCTATTTAAAGATACCAAGGCCATCTTTAATCATCAGATCCCCAGGACTTGAGCAACTGGCAGGGGACACGGACAAGAGAACAGCTACTGGCACCTACTCCTGACCTCCTTTCTACCCCACAGACATCCTTCCTGTCCCTCACCGAAACCAAAGCTATGGCCTGTGCCCTTCCATCAGGGACTGCACCTCATTTGCCTACCCTACAATAATCCTCCGGCCTCGCTTTGACACTGGCCTTCCAGGCTCTCTTGGGAGGACAGGCTGGTGCCAAGGGGACCAAGAGTCAGAAGGCCAAGAGCTGCACCACGTGCAAGGGAGACGCATCCAGAACATCCTGTGAGCCCAGCAGACCTGTGTCCACAGTGCCAAGCACGTGGCCCTACCTGCTGCTGTAGGACTGTCCCCAGAGTGGGAATACCCAGGGAGTGACGCTGTCGGGCCAGTGCCCTTTGCAAAAGAGACCCGTGGGGGTGGGGTTGTAGTTCAGGGCTAGAGTGCTTGCCTAGAGTGTGAGAGGGCCTGGGTTCAATCCCTAGCACCACAAGAAAAGAAGGAAAGAGAAGGCTCCTTTGCCACTCAGAGGAGACGGTCCTCTGAGGGCCTTGAGTTTGGACTTCCTGCCTTCAGAGCTGTGAGAAATGTGTTTCTGTTAAGGGTCAGCCAGTTTATGGCATTGTTTGCTAGCCTACCTAGAGCAAGACGATTATCACTGTTAATTCTGAGCTAGGTGGCCAGAGGGGGAAGCCCTGGGAACTGGTAGAAAGCCAAATACTAGTGACAGAAATCCTACATGGCCATCACTCCCAGCTACTGCCAGCACCTACTGCGCTCCCCAGACCCAGCTTTACCTGGAAGGCCCTGCCGGACCCTGCGCTAGGCACCTCACCCACCAACATACACACCCAAGTGGCGGGTTGAGATTGTTAACAGGGGCTTCCACCTGGAACCCGCAGTCCTGGCATGGTGGCAGCCGACCTTGGAGAACATCCTGGCCCCTCTGGGAAGCCCAACTCCACTGCCAAGACTTTCAGGAAACCATGAGAACCAGACAAGTTTCGGGCAATAATATAAGCCGGGCCAGCCAAAAGACCACATTGAGCAGGCAGTCCATAACCTGTACAGAAGTGAGCCATGCCACCCAGGAATCTTCCGCTACTCCTGTAGGGTACCAAAGAACAGACAATATACGGGCCCGGGGCCCACCCCAGCGTACACATGGCTGCTCCTACCCTCTGAGTAGCATGATTCAGCATTTCCTGCCAAGCAGAGTCAAACTGCCGTTTGTCATCCTCCAACAGCCGCTGCTCGGCCAGGGAGATGGTCTCCTTGGCAGCACGGAGCACCTCGGTGGCCCTCTGGAAGTCCTGTGTGGCTTTCTGGGCTTCCAGTTGAGCCTGTTAAGAGAGAGAAGGTCTTGTGAGGCCTTAGGCAAAGGCCAGGAGTCCCTTGGAGATGAATGTCCCGAGATTTGACCTGTCTGTTTCTGCCTCTCTTGGACAGGCTGCACAGGCAGGTTTCCTCACACATGGGACGGGTTTCAGGGGCTGATGGCTGAGTGGACACCAGATTGCTGAGCAGACAGTCTACAGAGAAGTAAATGCATGGACCTTGCATTGTCATAGCAATGGCTACTTAGCCATTTGTGGCCTTTCTTCAAAGCCCAGTGAGGCACAGCAGTCCTGGCACCTTCCCTGCACATCAGAGCCCAAAGTGGGCCCAGAGACCATAGCTGTGGGGCTCTGTTCTTCAGGTGAGGCAGAGCAGCTAAAAACAGCCTTTCCCGAGCTCCCACGGCTAGTCAGAAGCAAAACTTCAGGCAAACGCCCCACAACACAAGTGCCAGCCTAGCATGGCCATTGCCAGCCAACCCTCTCAGTCCACACTTACTTCAGAGCCAGGCCACGCATGGTGGTGGCCAGGCCCAGGTCCTGTTAACAGCACCACCCCTGCTTTCAGGAAGGAAGGCTCAATACAAACCGCAGCTGGCCTCACAGCTCCAGCTGCCGCCCGCACTCCTGCACACACCTGCCCGTGTGTACGCGTGGACATGTGCCCGTGGAGAAGGCTGAGGATAGCCTTGGAGACCATCAGGAGCCCTGTTTCTGTCCCAAGGTTGCTCACTGGCCTGGAATGCCCCTACTAGGTTAGGCTAGCCGGCCCCTGAGCCCCGGGAAGCCACCCGCCTCTCCGGGGCTGGGATCACATGCACTTCCACGCCTGGTTCTGTGGACTGAGAACTGGGTCCAGACGCTTTACTGACTGGGTCGCCTCGGGCCAAGCATCTAAACTGTGGTTAACAAAAATTAAACCCAAACATCGCTGAAGACCCAGAGAGCTCAGAGGTTAATGTGCTCCACAAGCAAGACGACTAGAGGTTCAGATCCCAAAAACGCACATAAATGCTGGGACGGTGTGGCGGCTGCCACAGCTGAGGAAATGAAGATGGGGACCTTGGAGCAAGCTGGTTAGAGACGACCTACATCTTAGGGCTCTGGTTTGGCGGAAAGACCCTGCCTCAAAAGATAAGGTGGACAACGGATTGAGGATGATCCCTGACACACATTCACGAGTACCTGTTCACCTGTGTAGCACATATGTGAATATGCACACACCACACACGTACACACGGAAAGAAAAAAGAGCTTCATTTCAAGGACTCAGTAAAAAAATGTTGACTATCCCATCAGCCATTTTTCTCATCAGTGATGAGACAAGACTTGAGATATACTAAACTAAATCAAATACACTGAAATTAATCTTACCTGTTTGTTTCCTCAGTGCTAACCAGAAAATATAAATTTGCATAGGTGACTCTCACACTGCTACTTTAGGACAGCTGATGCTCCTCCCCCAAGAGCGGGCTAAATGATGTGACTGTGTGACGGCATCAGAAACAGGGCTGGGGAGATGGCTTGCTGTGCGAGTGTAAGGACCTAAGCTCAGGTCCCCAGAATCCACACAGGGACAGACCCAGTAGCATGCATCTGTAACCCCAGCACTCCGTGGCCAGATGGAGGGGACAGGAGATGGCTGAGACAGGAGAAGCCCCGGACGCTCACGGGCCAGGTCAGTTAGCCTGGTGAATGCAGGAGCAAAGCCAGACCCTATCCCAGACAAGGAGACGGTGAGGAGAGCCCACCTGAGTCTGTCCTCTGACCTCCACACTCAACACTGTATACAGGCTCCACCCCCTGACAGGGAGCAGCAGCAGCTCACTACAGGCCCCACCCCTCGGGGTCACCTCCAATTTCCCACTGGAGCAGGGACAGGTCACTGTCACGCGCTAACTACCACACCCTGAGTTAACAGGGTCACTGGGCCAATTACACAGTCCCTGATGGGACAACCCCTAAGACAGGCCCTGGGACTTAGGAAGGAACAACAGGGTCCCACCCTTCCCCAGAGAAAGTCTCGCATGACTTGGAGGAAATCTTCACATACATTGTGGGCACTTTGCAAAGAAAATTAAGGGGAAAAGAAACAAAGAAGCTGAGAGGCCAGTGACCCAAGGTAACCCATGACGGGCATCCCCGCCTGCTCTCTGCACACCCACAGTCCCAGTCCTCCAGCCCACACAGATCCACTCAGGGGACCGGGTCCCACATGTAGCTGACGTGCAGAAATCAGTGTTTTGAGGTTGTGCGCAGGCCAGAAGGAGCCTTGCTTCCCATAAGAGGAAACTGAAGAAGGGCTCGTAAAGAAGGGTGATCCTGAAGAGAGGCCTGAAAGGCAGGCAGGAGCTGCATCTCAGGGCTGATGGAGGTCAGGGGGAGCATTTGAGACTCTGAAGTTGTACCACAAGACAGGGTCCGTAGGAGACCTGACAATGCCTGGAAAGGAGCACTTTTTAAAAGCCAGCCTGGGCTACACAGCAAGGTCCTGTGCGTTCATAAGGAACGCTCATGTGAAGCCACCCACAAGCTGTGAGAGAGGTGAAGTGCTCTCAAGAGTGTGAAGGAAGAGGCCAATTATTAAAGTCTCTTAGGGTGGGTTTCTCCGGTGCGGGACCTGTGCCATTAGAATCATCCAAAAGCTCCTACCTGTATTTGAGATTTAACTTGAGAGAACATCCCAGTTATGTCACGAGACACAGAACCTCAAAGAGCAGAAGCCAATTGGATTATCTAGTTCATCCAGCCAGCCAGCCTGTGGGCAGAACCAGGAGCTCACACAGGCCAGGCAAATGCTCCGCTGCTGAGCTGCACACTCAGCTTCATAAGCTCACCCTTGTGTGAAAGTTGATACTTAGGGGTCCTTGACACAACTAACAAAATCCAGCCTTTGAACCCCAGCAAAGGTCCCAGGCCCTGTTACCAACACACAATCTGACTAGGGCCTTCTGGCCCAGGCAGTAGCTCACTCAGCAGAGAAAACCAATGAGTAAACTTGAGGCCTGCAGCTGAGAGTACCATTGAGGCAACGGCACAGCTCCGCTTGGGCTATAACACACACCTAGGACAAGATTTAAATCTCTCAGGGATGCTAACAGAGTTCATGAAAACAGGCAGCTCATGAATGAGCTGGGTGAGTGACCCTCGTGACACACTGGCCCAGTCAGCTGTGTCTGCGACACACCATGAAGTGTCACAGATGGGGTGGGCATGAAGAGCAGAAGGGGTTGGCAGAAGGCAGCAGTCATCCCTCTGACTCAGTAGCCACTCTGCTCTCTGAAGGGCATCTAGATATTTGTGTTGCGGGGGAGGGGGGCACAACGAAGGTTCAGGTGGAATGAGGTTTATAGATCACCCAGTCGAACCCACCTCATTTTTCTAAGGAAGGCCATGAGTAGTGATGTCACAGTCAGGCCCTCAGGACCCCCGTTCCCTGTATCATGCAGTGTCTGCTGCCAGAGGGCTTCTGACACTGCCATTACGTCAACAGCATAGGATGAGAACAGTGGCACAGCTGTCTAGCCTGAATCAGCATGTCAGCCTGTTTCTACTTCCTTCTCACACTTGTCTCTCCATCACAGTGACTAGCAGCTTACACAACTGCTAGCCGTGTGCAGCAGGCCTCCAGGAACAGCGCATTCCAGATCAAATTTTTCCTGTGGCTACAGAAACAGAACAGATGCCAACTTCTCCCCACCCACCCTCCAGAAGGGTGCACCCACGGTCCTCCTGGGGCTTCCTCCCACACCTACCACGTAGGAGCAGCGAAAGGCCCATCTGCTATGGGAATGCTGACGGCAGGAGTCCTGGGCCAGGCCTGTGGCAGGAGCAGGAGCTAAGGGACAGACAGAGCAGCGACTACTCTTCCTGAGCCCTACACATGCAGGCAACCATGAACTACACCATCAATGACGCACCTTCCTCTGCTAGGGTGGCTTCCCCAACTCAGTGGGTCTGATGCCTTCATCCCACATACCCACTCATGACTTGGCCTGCTACTCTGCCACCTGCAGGACAGGTTAGCTTCAGACACACAGGAATCTGAGAAGCCAATCATTCTTCCACTGAGAAACACAGTGCAGACCCAGAGCATAGAAGTAACCGAGTCATCCATCGCCCAACGCTCCCAAGGTGGTGGGGGTGTTGCCCATACCAGAGGAGATGCCAGATGCTCGCTGGGGAAAACGCTGCACAAACTGTGATCACACCTTGCTGTGACCCTTGCGACAGTCCTTGCAGCAAAGGGGCAGGTGTTAATCTCTGAGCACAGGAACAGAGATGTGGAGAGGCTGGGCTAGGGTTGCAGCCCCATGCCAGCCCTAGGTGCCATCACAGAAAGGGGAGTGAGGGAAGCAAAGCAAAGCAAAGCAAAGGGGGAAAGAGGGAGGGAGAAAGAGATGGGGAGACAGAGATAAACACCAGCCATGCAAGTCTGACGACAAGTTCAACCCCTATGACCCACGTAGGTAGAAGGGATAGGACTCCACAAAGCTGTTCTCTGATCATCACCCTGTGTTGTGGCGCACACATGGGCACAGGTGTGTACTCACCATTCATACACACACATAATAATAATAATAATAATAATAATAATAATAATAATAATAATAGTTACTTTAATCTCTGAAAAAGAACAGAACTAGGAAGCTGGAACTGGAAACAGTGTCTTCCCACATGCTGGCCTTGGTCTCAGTGTCAAGAGCCTGAAAGCATCTGGAGCCCTTGGCAAAGCTCTGACCCAGCCTCCTCCTCTCCTTCCTCTCCACTGGGGAGATTCCTGGTTTGAGCTCTGTGAGCACAAGATTTTTGACCTGGGGACTGTGAGGAAAGGTACCCATACTTCCCACCAGCCCCAATATGAACAAACAGCCTCCCTGTGGCTTTCCACTCCCCAGGGCTCCCAGCTCTTACCACACCAGACTGTTAACAAAAGACACATTCCAATGCCCTGCACAGAACTGGCATTGATGGTCAGGACAATTGGGCCACTATGAGGCAGGAGG